GAGGCAAAAAATAAAGAGCTAGAGATGAAGTCTAATCTAGAGATGCAGAGGTTGCTGTTAGCACGTGAAGAAAAGCTGAAGGAAATGAAGAATCAGGCAAAATTTGAGATTACGACTTTCAGTCCTGAACCTCCTCTCCTCAATTTGATGTTGGTGGACATATGTAGTCCCATACGAGGACTTATGATAGTTTAAAAACCACTTGTAAAACAGGTTAAACAGCATACTTACTATGTAAACCCCACAAAAGAGCACAAATGCAGGAAGAGGTTGAGTATTTGTAAAAACATGGTCTGGCAGTTCCAAGTTCCAGCCTCTGGGCTCCCCGTGTTTGCTGGTGCCCAAGTTGTAGGGGAGACCACACTTTATACAGACTTCAGAAAGGTAAACAGTACTACCAAGCCCAATGCATGTCCTCTTCCTTGTGTGAAACATTGCATAACTATGGTTGGAGCTGCTTACTATGTTACAAAGTTAGTATTGATTCAGGGTTATTGACAGCTTGTGCCTCTAAATTTTCTGCATTTGTTAACCCAGACAGCTCCATTCAGTATATTGTCATTTTATTTGGCATGTGCAATGCTCCAGCTATCTTCCAGCACCTAATACAGAGAGTGTTGTTGGAGTCACAATGTGTCAAGGCATACTTTGATGATATGATGGTCTACTCCGCTGATTGGGAGTTACACGTGCAAGCCTTGTCTATGTTTCAGCGTTGTAAGGAGCATCTCTCACCTTGATGCTTGCAAAACTACTGTCAACAATCTGGAAAAGTGGTTTGGTAAAGTGCATCCAGTAGATGCTAATGTGACAACCATCACCTGCTTCTTTGTTCTCACTACTAAGCAAGAGTTGCATCACTTCCTCCGCTTAGCTAGCTACTAAAGAAGGTTTTGCCTTAACTTTGCTTCCATTATGTCCCCTTTGACAGATCATCTGAGCCTCGCGACAAGTTTTGTTTGGTAATAAAGTTGTGAGAAGGCCTTTCAGAATGTAAATCTATAAGTAATGCAATTCAAGCTGGAAGTTGACGCAAGTGGTACTGGAGTTGTGCGGTATTGTTACAGACTTAATCCTCTGGCATCGATCACCTTGGGCTCTTTGGAATTTTTTGGCTTATGGTGGCTCAACTTCATAGCCAGTGATCGGTTTTACAGATCCCAACCCTCTAGTGCTTTTGTCTCCAATCCACATAGTAACCATCAACTCATGTGACTGGCCTTGATTGTCCAAAACTACAACATCGAGACTCGTCACAAACAGGGGTGTGACCTATTTGGGTTACCATCTTAAGGGAGTGGGTTTTATGTTTACTTTGGGTCCTGTGTTGGTTTGCCTGTCCTCTTCTGTTTGTTTTTACTCTTGGTGCAGCTCCGAAGTGTCTTAAACATTAATGCCTGTGATAAGATGGGCAGGGTCTATTTAAGTAGCTCCTCACACTGCCCACACTTTCTCTGGATCTCTGCTCCTAAGCATTACCCCGCTTAAGTTTTTCCTTCTGTATTGTTTTGTCTTTTGAGAATAAATGTCATTTTTGTTTCCATTAAAACCAGTGTTTTGTCTCAAATTAAGCTGTCGCTTTTGAGCCAGTAGTAACACATAATAATGAATGAATGCATATGAAATGGGAATATTGTACATGAAAATCAGAAGTTGTATGTTATTGGAACTAATATTGCACAACCTATGTTCTGCAAATTTGTATTATTTTTTGAGATTGAAGTGTCTGATGTTTTAGTTGAATCCTATGATAAGAATATTTGGAGCATGTCTCAACATTTAGGGGAAAATGTAAAGATGACGAACAAGAGGATACTGGTATGAAGGTGAAGGGAGTGGGATGGTGGTGGGTGACACATTACAAAGACTGAAATTAGAAAACTAGTGCAGCTCCCTTTCTAGCATTTTTTCCCTTCATTTTCTCTTTTCATTTTATTTTAGTACATGAAGAAAAATCTGGAGTTATGCCAAGCCGCATTCAAATGCCAGATACTGAACAGAGAAAGATCAATGAGGAAAGAAAGCTAACCTGCCACTTGCAAGAGCAAATATATCAGCTAACAAAAGAATTCAGGTACTGTCAGTTGAAAACAACTGGTGGCAGTGTCTTTCACATTTTAATCCCCATTTACAAGCATTGACATAGTGTTAAGATGAATGAATATTGTACACGGAAATCAAACGATGCACATGATATTGGAACCAATATGATCAAACTTTGTAGAAAAATACTGTAAACGACATTGATGTTATTTTGAACCTAAGAGAGAAGAATGTTAGCTCCCCAAAGTCAGACACAAGTACATCTTCACAAAATCTACTGAGGACCTGCACAATGGAAGACCTGTTAGCAGCATGGACACGACCTCCTGTGAGAGCACCAAGAGCACAGTGAAGGTAGAGTCCTCAGCAGTGGAATTCATGACCTTCATTCATTAGTAGGAAATCCAGGAGAGGTGATGTAGGCAGCTCTCAGTTTGAGCAAACAGCAGTTCAACAGAAAGCTGATGAGTTCTTTAGTTCAAGTGAAGTCACTGAATTGACCCTTCCTGGGGACCATATACAAGAAAATCTTTGACTGAACCAGTGGATACAGTAAAAAAAAAAATGTTAAAAATAAAAAATAGTAATGAAAACAGACTAGGATTGTCTCCAACTTTTTATTATTAACAAAGACTTTATTTTTTGTGTTAACTAAAAGCTTCAAAAACATTGTGGGTTGCCTACTTTGCTCTAATATCTTTTTTAATTTCAACCAAAATACCTGACTTGTTTTTGTATAATTCCCAATTTGCAAAATTACAATAAATACAAGCTTTTTCTTAGGTTATATTTTATTTAAAAAAGGAGCATTTCAAAACCTGTATGTTCTGAAATAATACACAATCAAAATATCCACAGAATTAAATTAAAACAAATTCATCTTAACAAAAACAACACATTTCAACACAAAGTTACAGTACAACAAATTACTGTTGCACTTGAGAATCAACAAAACGCACCGCATTTTTACATTCTGACCTGGGATCAGCTGACAGAAAAACGATGGAACAAAACTGTAGGTTTCATCTTTCAGAAAATGCTGAGGGAAAAGGTAGAAAACCCACAAATTTAACTTGTAAAATTATTATCTGGAATGTTTAGCTGACGGCATTAAGACCCAGTGTAACTACTTTGTTGCAAACCACCAACCAGCATGTGATTCCCACTCCACCTGAAAGGAAAGAGCAGCTTTGTCAATGAATTATATATATGTATATACACACCTTGTGTAGCATATTTCTATACAGAGTTGTTCGTGCTTATAAATGATATTTCGGCCTATTAAATACAAAAAAAGAGATTGACTACCTGCCACCCCTGTTGGGAAAGCCACAAGGCGCTCCACAGGGGCAATCCATCTACTGGGGACCACAGTCACTGGATCGGAGTAATACTTCCATATCAATGAGATCATGAGTGCAGCCTGACAAATAACAGAAAGAAACAATTAGGTTATAAGAAGCACCTACTTACTTAACTTATCATGATGGTAACAATGTAATTTCTTTCATTTACTTCTAAAATAATCAGAATAAAGTATTTACATAGTATTAATTGTAGGTTTTGTTTCTGACAGATGGCCAATGCTTACATTCTATGGTACTGATAAAGCTATGGTCTCATAGTTGCACTGAAATCTAAAACTAAATGCGTCTATGCTTAGACTAACAATCTCCACTTACCTGAAGTATGTAAAAGACAATGTTCACGACCCATTTCATTTTGGCTTGTTGAGCAGTCCTTGATTTCACTGCAAATAAGAGGAAACATGTAGCTGTTAGAGTGAACATGCTGATTGTTGTGGTGATACTGCCTTCTTTAATACTATCGCAGTGACTTTTAGCCTTTAATCAGATTGAAATGCCATTGTGTTTTACTTCATTACTTGAATCACTGAAAGCATCTGTGATGTGAGCAGTGGTCTGAAAGCAGTTTATGAGCCTTTTATTGTACATTCCCAATTAATGTGTTCCACTCGGTCATACATTAGGTAAGACTGAGTGTGTTGGAAAAATACATGTAAGAAATACACTCAAGTAAATGTGGAGCAGTAATTCATTTTGGACAGTTCATAAAATACTTAGTCAAACATCAGAGAGTTCCCCTTGATAAATTCAATGACTAAGGCTGGATTCAGCAGTTGAGGTGTCGACAGTCATTGAAATTTCGAGAAAATCATGATTAGTTGACGTCATATATCGTACAATATGAGCTATATAGGTTGGAGATTTTATTTAACTTGTATTTAAACACATTCTATTTGTTTGCAAGAAATCCTAAGGCGAGGCATGAAGGACAGCAACAGGCGGCAACAGACGGCAGCTGTTCTCAGCGAACACTCAGCTATGTATCCAAAACCTCCAACCATTTCCTTCAGGTTGGTGGTTTTTATGTGTGAATCTGCTGTAGTGAGCATGCACAGGTGTGGAACGTACAATATCTGCCTTTGGAAGTCAGAGCTATAGTGTATCACAGTATATTTTCTCCTATGGCTCTTTAAGGCGCCAGAACCAACTGAAGGGCTCTGTATATAGGGGACGGTTCTTCACATACTTTAAAGGTTCTTCATTTTATTGGACTTTTTTGGATTGAGGGCAGGTAGATGGAAACAATTAGAGCTCCAACTAACATTATCGATTTATTACTTAGGTCGATAAAACACCAGAAAAAGGTGAGAAATGACCATAACAACTTCACAGACCTTCGCCCACATCTTATGATACATTCAACTTTTTTGCTTAAAAAATACTTTAAGATTTAAGAGTCCTGTGATCAAAATAGAACCACAAAGGAAATAAGCTATTTTTGCCTATGTTCTTCGGAGTGCCATTTAATATGCCTAAGGAAACTATTTATCAATGGTTCTTAGAGGCACCTCTGGGTAATTCTTTAAAGACCTGTTTAAAGAAATGGTTCATCAAAGAACCTTTTGTGAAAAGAGTCTATGTGGAACTAAAAATGGTTCATCAATGGCATAACTGAGAAGAACCACTTTAGTCTTTATTTTTCTGGATGTAGAATTTAAATTGTGGGGCTCCTGTAAAGCTGCCTCCCCTGTACATAAGTAATTTCTTTTACATCTCACCGTGTGTTTTCAGCTTGTCTGTTGTCTTGTTGATTTTGCGCTCCAGTCTGGCATATCTAGCAAACTCATCCATCATGCTAATGGAAGACTGCTCCTTCTTCATCTCCTGTATTTCGGTCCTCATCTCACTCTCCTGCTCAGCATCTTTCTGCACCATCTTTGAGAGCTTCAAAGAAACAAGACTGTTACTAACCAAACACAGAGGCTGGGTTTAAATGTGATGTAGATGACTAAACCTCGATCACAGAGTCCCTAAATGTTGCTGCTACACAAAGAGGGGGGGATGCCTAAAAGTGTCACAGAATAGAGATTCTTATTATAGCACACTATCTTTAACAGTAAAGCTAAACTGTAAACACAGCTAGTTAAACGGCACTCTGGCGCTATAGTGGGCTCCTTAGTTTTAAACAATGATGGAGAACAAAATGTTTCCCACTAGTGTGTAGTAACTAGACCGGGTTCTTTGGAAAAACCCCACCCTCTGGCCGAACAGCTTCGTTGTTTCAAGCTAGCTTATTAACCATGTAGCATTACCCACTAAGTTAGCTTCACAGACGGCTAAGCTAGTAAACAACAACCGAGGCCACACATTCCAATGGCACATTAACAAGCACAAAGCTGAAGCCGTTTTCAAGCACGACACAAATACAAGCAACAATCCCAACTTACGAAAGACGACATGCTCGGTAGGAGTGTTTTCATGAGGTTACACAGAAATACCGAGCCCAACACCAAGAACCACGCATAGCCGGTCGCCATGTTTCTTCTCGCACAGTCACCCTCCTCCTTGTTGCAGCTGTGGAGCTGCTTCACTGCCCTTACAAAGTAGCTCTGGCCATTTTTAAAAACACATTAAAACTCCAATGAACTAGACAGTGCATGTATTCGATAGCATATTAAAGTTGTAGCTAAATGTGATTTTTATGTGCATTGTTTTTTTGTTTGTTTTTTTGTTGTTGTTTTTTTACTGTATCTGCAGGTTTAATTGTAAACGACGGCTGTATACGTCAGGATTTGGAGCGGAGAATGGAAAAAGTACAGTGCTGTACAGCTTTGTTGTTCGATCATGTTAATGCGCATACATTGTTATTTAACATCATGGCTGTAATGCATTCTCCAAGTCGCGCACACACCCCGTAAATCAGAAAGTGAGAGTTGGCTGGACTCACTGATTGGCATACTGTACTGCCCACACAGGTAAGATGTTATGGTTCAAAAATATGCTTCCTCGACGTGAAAGCCAATCACTGGAAGCCAGGGGCGGGGGTTTACTTTTCCTGCTAGGTTGGTAGGATCAGGGATAAAATATACCGAGAGGGAGATCCAATCCGGTTTGAGCTAGTTCTTATACTAGTCGGACGTTTATGTTAAGTTACAGACTGCTCCGGAGGTGTAAGACAGAGGTGCAAGGCTGACCCACATTACGCTGAGTTTCCTTAAAGGCTGTGTCAAATCTGTGCTGTGCAAACCAAGCAACAATGGGAAAGAAAAAGGTAAGTCGAACGTTTACATTATGGAGGAAATTATAAATATTGTCTGTTTTACATTTTATGAGTGTAACGTTTCCAAATGCACAGACTGTTCTTTTTCGTCGGGATGTATTTTTCTTCACAGTATATTAGGTGATATGTGTGAAATGCCAGCATTGAGGCCATGTGCATGCACGTAGGGAGTCCACCTTTGCTGCGCTCAGGTCTGTCGTGTCTGTGCTGTTGATACAGGGAAGTGGCGCCTTTTTACTTAGCCCAACATGCAACATGCTTTTTCGTCGAAGAAGTTTGCGCCTTGCGCGGTGTTTCCTCTTACGACTGCTTTATATTCCTGTCGTTAATTATGTTATGTGGTTGGGTTTTATAATATTTCACTGAGATCGAACAAAGGGGTGTACCCGTCGTCGAAGCACAGGTTACCATTTCAAGGAAATTTCTCTGCGTAAATGCCTCTAAAGGTTTGACCTGCTTCACTGCTCAGGCAGCTATTTGCTCGAAGAATACGTGGACTTGTTACATCGTGTTTTTGCAGCGCGAACTGCTCAGATTATGACCTCTGACTGCGCACTGCTGCTGCTGCGCTTCGCTTCTGAGGTGTTCAAGTCTTTTCTCTCGGATCGACATGGCAGCTGATATATCCTTTAAAGACAGCGACACGTGTGGTTACTGAGGCAAATAATGGCGGATAAGTTTTATTTTATGCAACAATCCTCAGGTTTCGTCACGTTGGGGACATAAACAGATACTGATGTGCGGAGCGCATGTGGAGGTGGAGCGACCTTTCCCTCTTCCTAAAGTAGCTGCAGCACCGTGCTTACTTAACAGAACATGTTTGATCATGAACGATGTGAGAATCAACTAAAAGTGGCCAAACCTTGCTAGTCAGTTTAGAAACGTGTCGCACCCCTCCCCACGTACAGATTGCATAATTTTCTTTGTGACTTAAGGGGAAGGAGAGGTGCCCATCCCCCCCTTTACATTACACACCCACTTTAGCGCACTCATGAATGGTTGTTGCTCCTGCCTTGTTATTATTATTCATTTCTGCTTCTCTCTGTCCTTCACAGACTACCACTGATGCAGAGGCAAGTGCTGAGGTTGGTATCCAAGTCTTGACATCCAAACTGATCCAAATTTATGCCAGAGTCCCAACTGACACTCAAATGGACATTTTGTTCTACTTTCTGTCACTACAAAGAGAAAGTCTTAATTGGTACAAGATGGCCTTTAACATAGTTTAGTCCAACTCATTTTTAGTCCTACACATGAGAAACTGGGGTTCTAATGATGACAGTGTCAATTCAATTGCTTTAATTTGCAGATTATCATCCAGTTTATTGGGTTTGAGGAGCTGCACAGCCTGTAGGGGGTGCAAGTTTACAGTTTCGGCTGCGTTCAAATGTTCTTATAACGCAACACTAAATGTTGAGTTATAGCATGAGTGTAACCAAAGCACACCAACAATGCATTTTTTCATCTTTTCTCACAAAAGTCCTGGACTAAATGCATATGCAGTATAGTTGTATGTAATTTTATTATGTAGACTTCTCTATAGAGTGCGAATTGTGCAGAACCCAAAAACTGGAGCTAATTTACAGTTTTGTTGGTTTCCTTTGTCAAGGATGGTTTTCACCTTTTTGGTTGTTTGTTTTGGTTTCTCTTACTGAAGAATCTCAAATGTAAACATACAAGTATTTGGATTATTGCTCTCAGAAGCAGAAATGGTTTGACACTTCTGATAAACTGATAAATAGTTTAATCTAAATTTTTTTGTGATTATTATTGATTGTTCTTACTTTGTAAGACGAAGACTACAGTTCACATATGTAATTAATTAAACATGATAGAATAACATTCAGTCAGGCATTTAACTGTAGCTTCAGTGCTTGTTAGTGTAACACTCTGGTATGCTCGGTGTCTGAAAACATGTGTAGAAGCACTCATTACTTCCCTTTTGTGCTCATTTTATCACCCCCACTGTGAGTAACATTTGTTTGATTGCACATTTTATGGCAGAGTGTCTTACAAAATCTTTGAACCTAATGATCCAGTATTTATCAATAATGGAGAGAACTAACACCATATTCTCTGTTTTTCTTTAGCCAAGGAGAAAGTCTGCAAGATTGTCAGGGGTAAGTTCTACAAAATCCACCAAAGACCCTGGCATTTTAATGAATTTTAGTATTTTCTGTTTGAACAATGCATTTTTTGCTGCTACGATATGGCACATAATTGTGTGGTGCATGTGTGTTACAGACTAAGAAAGAGACAGCGCCAGAGACAGTAAAGCCAGAAAAGAAAAAGGTAAAAAGAGAAATCTTGCCATTGCAGTACTTCACTGTATGCATTTAAAACACACATTTTATTTTCTATTACGCATATTTGACATACTGCTTGGATTTTTGCTCATATGATAGGCACCCGGCAAGAAAGAAGTGAAAAAAACAGCAGTGGTCGAGCCAGAGGAGAAGAAAGAAGAACCTCAGGCGGAGACAGAAGAGGTTCCTGCAGAAAATGGAGAGGCCAACACTGAGGAGGTAATATAGTTTGTTTTTTTCCCTTGACCAATTCTGTGTTAAACTTTCATTGTGGTAAAGAGAACTAAATGCTGAAGCCTGTTTTCTCCATCCTCCAGCAGGCCACAGCTGCAGATGACCAGCCGAATGGTGAAGAGGAAAAAGCAGCAGAGTAGTAGTGATACCTCTGAACTCATTTGCCAATGCTCCCTGTACCTCCTTTGTTGTAAAATGCAGAGAATATTTTTATCTACTATTTTCTTAAGACAACAATGTTTTTAGGGATGTGATTGCATTTTATTTTTTTTAAATACTACAACAAAGTCTCTGTCATTGTGCTTTCGTGGTCTTTTTGTTGTTAGATTCTAGTTTTTTGTTTTTTTTCCTGCATGACATGCAATAATGCCTTTATCAGGAATGGGAGAGTTTACCTGAAACATTCCCAAGGAATTTAAAGAGATTTTGTAACCTGTATTGTGTTGGAAAACTCATCAAAATACTGTTTGTTTGATAATAGGAGGATTCAAAAGTTTGAAGCTTGTATTCTATGCTAAAACAATGCCTTGCTCACAATGTTCAGTTTCATCATTCGCAAAATGATGGATTGTTGGTTTTCACTTTAAGGTACAATTGAGAACAATTGAATTGATACATTTTCTAAGCTATGCTCAAAACAAAAATGCATTACAAAGTTAGTCATATTTGTTAAGGTTTTGGGGTTTGTCTACCAATGTACAGTTTCCTCTTAAAAAAATGTTTTCTTTGTTTTTGATGGTATTAAATGCCAATTAAAGTGGGGAATTTCTTTTAATTGTTTGTGTCTCATCAGTTATGTATCTTATTCAATCCTGAATACAGTAAACAATTTACATGAACCAATTTCAGATGTTTTACCTGGAAAGAAGTATTGCTGATCTTCAAGGCACTTTAGTGAGAATTAAATGATGATAATTAACAAGAAATCCTAAAACTAAACATTAACATTACACTGAATGTTGCATTTCCATTTCCCGGTTAGCTTTGTAGCAGAACTAGTAGAGATTGTTGCATATGAGGTTGATTAAATGATTTAAAAACAAAAAATTGGTACATATGCATATGAAGCATGAAAGCTAAAAGGAAACATGGCCTGATAACTGTGCTTGGGTGGAGCCTTTCCAAAAAAGAGCCACTGTGCACTACAGTGCTACATGGCTCTACATTTGTTGGGTGCTTGTTTGATAAATACATTCAAAATTAATTCAGTAGTATGCACCATGTAGAAATTGTATTAGCTGTTATAATAAAGTCTTTGAAACTAAACAGTCAAAAAGCACGGACCCCTAATCTCTTTGGTTGGTTGATATTTTCCTGTCAAGCAATTTCGCATATTATAAAAGTTGCTAGCAATGATGAAAAATGGCCTTTTAGGGCTCGTGGTGGCCCTGATGTAGTTGTCTGCTTTGTCCAGGTGCTAATTCAGGCTCCAATATTACATGTTTTCAATATAATTGTGATTTAAATGTTTTAAGGGAGCACTGTTGCCTCGCAGCAAGTAGCTGCCGGTTCGCGTCTCAGTGGGGTCACCGGAATCTTTCTGCATGGAGTTTGCATGTTCTCCCTGTGCAGCGTGGGTTCTCTCTGGGTTCTCCGGCTTCCTCCCACACAGTCCAAATACATGTTGAGGTTAATTGGTGATTCTAAATTGTCCGTAGGTGTGAATGTGAGTGTGCTTGGTTGTCTGTCTCTCAGTGTAGCCCTGCGATAGACTGGCGACCTGTCCAGGGTGTCCCCTGCCTTCATCCTAAATCAGCTTGGATAGACTCCAGCCCCACGCGACCCTAGTGAGGATTAAGCGGCGTATAGATAATGGATGGATGGATGTTTTAAGGGCCTGTTCCTTTACTTTTACTTTGCTGATTGTTATAATATACAATTAACATGAAAACCAAAAGAATATTGGTTTCATATACTGAGGCTACAAAGGCTCATCTTTTCTTCAAAATCTCATTTACTAAGACATTTGAGAATGATATTATTGTCTATAAACTTTACCTGTAGCTAGTGGGTACAACCTTGTGACCACTCATTATAGGTGACAGCCCTTTAACCCGTTTAATCCTCACTGGGGTTGCGGGGGGCTGGAGCCTATCTCAGCTGACTTAGGGTGAAGGCAGGGGACACCCTGGACAGGTCGCCAGTATATCGCAGGGCTACACTTAGAGACAGACAACCAAGCACACTCACATTCACACCTACAGAGAAGTTAGATCAGTAATTAACCTCAACATGCTTTTGGACTTTGTGGGAGGAAGCCAGAGAAACACTGCACCACCTTGCAGCCCTTTCATATGGATTTATTTTTTAGAAAATTCAACAAGGTAGAGAGTTCTCCTCCCAAGATTGAATCATTAACAATTCAGGCTTACAAAGATACAAAGCTACCCAGTTTTAGTAGAGAAAAATCATGAAAAATAAACATATTTAGTTGAGGTTTATTTACAAGATTTTGCTTTAGTTTTTGACTGAATCTCAGTCTTTTCCATTAACTGAAGAGAGCTTTGTGTTTAGAATTATCGGCATGTTTCTGAGGTCAAGAATAAACCTTTGTCCTCAAACGTAGTTTTGTAATACTTTTTCTTACTTATCCATTTAATCGTGTGGCCTCATAAACTTTATCTTTTAACCTGCTGGACTATCCTGAGCTGGTGACCAAATGAACCTTTTTGTTGTGCAAGAATTTCCTAGTTTCCTTAAATACACACAAACATACACACACAACACTACATGGTCACAAGTCTTGAGTGTTAGTTTGTGGTACATAAACAACGTGTGAGTGCAGTACTGCCCTTTAATGGTGCAAATTGCCAAACAACTGTGCAAGCAATGAAATTGTTGGTCCCTTATTAAAATCTGGTGACTTCTGTTTAATGATAGGGTAAATTGGGGTAAGACTGGTTCATTCATTCAGATCTTTTCTTGGATGATAGCGTCTTTGCTAATTTATAAATAGCATGAAAAATATTTTACTGTTGGAAAGACCCAAGGAAGTCGTTTTGAGGTTGATGTCATATTTTGACAAAATAAAAAAGGTCTCTTTTTTGTTTTATTAGAATATGCATACACAAACTTTTTCATACCGTTTACATGAGAGTGATATGGAGGGTTGTCTATTAGTTTGATCAAACAAAAACAAACACTTTTTGTAATATGTGAACGTAAAAGGGTAAGACTTGGATGAGCTCCTCGTCAATGTAGACTAAGCATACTTGGCAATTGGTGATCTGACAATATTTTTATGTCAGGAAAATAAATATCAGTGACATCAAAGTTATAACTTTGTATTGTCCTATTTCCACAAAGTTAATTGGCAAAATAATATAGGCAAACTGTTAAAAATTCTAAAACAATTTCTGTATGTGTAATCTACCAGATACATTGCAGTTAAGGTAAATGCAACAACATAAAGAATATTTGAAAAAAATAAATCTTATGCATAAATGACAAGTGTGTATGGATCACAGTAGCTCATGAGGTAAGATTGCTTAGGTCATGGGGAAAGATGTCCCTTTTAGGATTGTATATTTAGATTTACAATAAAGCTGTATTCTGTTAGGATTTATTTACCTTCTAAATTCGCTCACTTAAGGATATTTCTTTTGTACATATGTAATAAGATTAAAAAAAAAAAAATATANTATATATATATATATATATTTAAAGAAAATAGATGTTGCTTTTAGGGAGCTGTTTTACCCCTGTCTCTATTTATAGACGAAGTGATAAAGCAAATTTATTAATCAAGACATTGATAAAGCAAACTGGCAACCATTATCTATGACGTCATGTGTAGAACTCACGACCTTGGTCAGCAAAAAGAGGGGGGAGGCGACCAGTGGATTATTACATCGTTTGTGATTTTAAAATAAATAAAGTTAATTATTGTTCAAGCGTGGACTAAAAATCGTGACAAAACGCGACGTGACGCTCAAATAAAGTAAATGCGGCTAGCTCACAGGCTAACGTGTACTCTCTGCCTTTTGTTGAGAAAGCTCCTCCCCACCCCCTTTTTCCTGTGCTGCTCCGCTGTGGCGGAAGTAAGCCGTATCGCCGAGGCCTCATCCTTCCAATGGCGACTGCGAACAGGCTGAACAGAAAGCGGGAGCAACCGTGGAGGGGGTCAGAGCTGTGCGACTGAAATTAAATAAATATATCCTATTCTCCGTAGCCATAAAGTTAGCCTTACATTTGTTCCACCGCTCCAAATCACGGCCGATTCAATGGCCAAAAATCGGAACATTTCGCTCCTTGAGTCGGGTAAGCCGCAGAAGTAAACCCAATTGATAGCTTCATTTACAACGATATTGCTCGTTGCTAATTGATATCCCAGCTGCTTTTCTAACGACTAATGTCCTCACTGTTCAATTTCAGAGCTCTATTACTTGATTTCTCGTTTTCTAACAACGGGTCCATGTCGGAGAGCGGCTGAGGTGAGCTGGCGTGCTTTGACTGGCACACTGTGTTGTATTTCAAAATAGTTGACTAGCTAGTTGATAATGGAGTTAATAGAGGCATTCTAATCTGAATCGTCGTTTTAATCCTCTGCAGGTCCTGGCGAGCGAACTACAGGAATATCAGGTGTGTATCTCCGCTGGCTGTGCTTGCTTGTTAACTGCTAACTAGCTGCTATCCGTCGGTCTTGACTGAGTCTGGGTTTAGAACTTGTTTCACTCCGTGGACTTTCTAATACCCCCGTTTGACATCACCCGGTTTTTTACGAGCCCAATGTGTGCCTGCTGGCATTTCCTATGGTGACTCCGCTTAACCGAACTCTGTTTTCGACAGCTCTTACCCGGGAGATTGGACTGGCTGGGAAACGAGCACCCGAGAACATATGAAGATGTGGTGAGATTTAACTTCATATCTGTCGGTGGTTGTTATTGTCTTGTGACAGGGGGACTGTGTGTCCATGCTCTGTGCTTGTTTACGGTCTTTGTTCTTTCTGCTGCTGAGCTGCTGTTGGAAATCTTTGAGTTGGGATGTTTGACAAGGTCATAACTCGCTCCCACTGACTTGATTTTTCAGACTGAACTGTTGTATAGTGTTGAAAAAACGGTATTTGGACAGGGAGTTTATATTATTTAGCCCCGACTGTTGTACTGCAGATAGGGTGGGTAGTTCGGCTTTTCGCTTTGTCGAGACGGCTCCGCTGACCAATCAGAGGCCAAGACGCACTGTCTCTGCGTTATTTTGCATGTGACCTGCGCTGTGATTGGTCCATAAAAAGAACACTTTGCATAAGAAGCCACGCCTCTCGATATAGGAGTTGAGAAGCACATGAAACAACACTGTCAGACGTTTGTGACCAAACTGCTACCAATCTATCTATAAAACGACAGACAGAGCAGCGATTTATTAACATTTAATAGGGCTGTTTTGTATTTAAATTCAATGTCTTTTTGTTTGATAAAGACAATGGAGTTCAGCATAGTTCTAATACAGATCACAAAACTGATGTCCTCCACAGAGAGTTTGTAGCTATTGCTAATTTTCAACTCTTGTCCCTAGTGTGGTTTTTAAATGCAAAGTGCAATTATAAAGATACAACTTTAACTGTAATAAAAACCACAATGCACTATGATCATGGTGGTACAATGATGTGCTCATTACAAAATACCTTCATTATGACACATAAAGGTGGGGGAAAACAGCTACAATTAGCTAAAATTTACACAGCACTGGTTTGCCTAAAGCCACTTGTTGTGAGTGATTTTATAACTGTAATTAATTTGATTTCACGTGTTAATGTGTTCAAGGGTTTGTATTCTTTTGTGGAGTAAGCTAATTGTCCAAATTTTAGTTTCATAACTGGTGATCAGAATTGCCATTGGTTCATTTTATATTGGTTACTTAACCAGTCCATTCGGCAATGGTCTGTGTTCAGCATCATCATGTCACTACTCTGTTTTTGTTTCCTCTGACAGGTTGCAGCCAACAGACATATTCCACCAGACCATTTGCTACAGATATGTAAGCAGATTGGACCACTTCTTGACAAAGAGGTGCCATCATGTGTCCCAGGAGTACATTCTCTCCTGGGGTCAGGAAAGCAGTCAATGCTTCGGACTGCAAAAGGTACATGGTCTTCAAGGCACTTCTGTGGATTTCTCTTGGTAGAAATAGGTGATGGGCTTTTTTGTAAGTACACTCCATGCAGTGGAAATTATACATCCCTCTTCTGGGGATACATGCTGAGTTCACATAATATGAAAGTTTGAATGGTTGCGTTTGTTTTTGTTTTTTGTCTGTCTAGGCTCTCAGTCATCTAGGTCATAGTAATCGGAAGTGCTTCAATAGATGGCAAAAGGACATCTCTTTTTTTTTTTTTGGTGCTTGAAGTTGTTTTACCTCTCTTCCAAGAGTCTTGTTCTGCTTAAACTGACTGATACAGAGTGTTATGTATAACAGTGTAAATACCTGAAACTCCCTACTGATCACTCAGATACTTAGGGAGTGTCTTGGATGAGAGAAAAGATATCTTCAAGAACCAAAAAGCTAAGCCCAGTCGCCTTTTAGTGAAGCACTTAAGATTTTTTGTTTTTCCATTTGCCAGAACTGATACTATCTGTTTCCCTCATAGAGCTGGTAATCAGTTAAATCTTCCTGTGTACTTTTCGTTTTAATTTTCAGACTGCGACAGTGTGCGGTTTAAAGCTTCATCATATGCAGCCCTTCACCGGGGCAGACCACCAGAGAGGCCTTTGAACTGCAAGAACCCTCCACAAATAGGTAAGTCCAGTCCCATTCAACAGTCCCTTGTTTTGTGTTGTAAGGATAAATAGACAGACAGATGTAGTGTTGCATGTACATGCCGGAGCAATGCCCTTCTTCATTAATAATTTGTTTTATGTGTGCGCTGACAAGTCATTGAGTACCTGGGTAATGTGCGTATTCAAGTGTATGTCACTGTTTATTTCTCATTCGGTTGAATGTTGTTGACAAATGTCAGCTTGGTGTCTAGTCAGTACTCCACCAGATTGTTTGCCTTGGTGCAGTCGGCTACATTGCAGTGCTAGTTGTTGCTAACATGTAAATTATGCTAATTATCAGTCATTACTCATCTAGAAGTTTGTGCCAAATTGTTTTAATGCTACGGGTTCTGTAGGATTTGTCAGTGATGTTACAGCTGAGACATCTGTCTCCTACACACTGCTGTAAAGATTCTTGACGTTGTTACGCCTGTTTGCAAGCTTTTTCTATTTAAAGGCTGTTCTCCTTCAAGGAAACTAATACACATGTAGGCTTTAAGGATATTTTTTTTAATCTAAAAAATATGTTATTGATGTTACACTGCTGTTTAGTAATGTACTTTTTATAAGGAATGAACTGAAAATCAGCCTCATTAAATGCTTAAAAACAACTTCAGCTTGAGGGAGTAAGAACGTAAAACAAAAAAACCTTATTGATGGTGGTCTTGTTTCTGTGATATTTTGTTGTTTCCCATAGCAACAGATACAAACCAGATGTGGCAGATTTAAGACCGGCAGTGATATTGTTATTGTTTACAGATCAGATTTGAATTAAGGATGTCCGTTTCATTTCATGCTCTTGTTTAAATCAAACCTATTTAGCTGACATGCTTGGTATTAGAAGAACAGTAAAGCGAGTTAGTAAGAGAGGCAACTACACTGGAACATAACTTTTGTTTGGTGCTGTATTTAGATGCATAAGGTTGATTGGAACACAATACATTTACATGCTTGGTTAAGCCCGAGCGTGACAACCTCTCATATTTAATTTCATCTTGTGATGATAATGCTCCTGCACTCCCACCCACATTAGAGTAAATATATCCCACGCCCACTGTATTTGTGTTGATTCCTGTCTTGTTGCAGCTTTGTAAATTTTCACTCTTTCTCTGATTGTGTGCACCCTATCAACAGTGAAGGTGCATCGAGGGAGAGAGCTGACGGGAGTGCAGCGCTTCAGCTCCATCAGTCCTGTCAGCAACTATGAGCACATGCGTCTGCATAGGCGGATCCTGGGGCATTTGTCTGCAGTGTACTGTATCGCATTTGATCGCACTGGTCTCAGGATCTTCACAGTAAGATGGAATTTGTCAACATATCCCCCTGCTGTCTCTATTTAATGTCGTGTAATTGCACTTAGTTTTGTGCATTTAAAAAGTTAATGCTACATTTTTGATTCACTTCTTATTATTTATGAATTGGACACTCAGCTGGCTGTGATTGCACATACATTGTTAATTTTGTTAGGATCTAATTGAAGTTGATTATGCCTACCAAGCTCAAGGCTATTGTCTTAACCTTGTGCCTCAAATTTGCCTTATAATGTACACTAAAGTAGAAGTCACTGCTTTTCCTTTTCAGGGCTCAGATGACTGTTTGGTGAAGATTTGGTCTTCATTTGATGGAAGACTTCATTCAACGCTGCGAGGACACTCAGCAGAGATCACAGACTTGGCGGTCAACTATGAAAACACACTAATTGCTGCAGGAAGCTGTGACAAGACCATCCGTGTATGGTGCCTTCGTACCTGTGCCCCTGTGGCTGTGCTGCAGGGACACAGTGGATCCATTACCTCCCTTCAGGTAAAATCATCTCTGTCTTCACAATATACCATTATTATCAACATATGTAAAGACAAAAAAGAGAAGGTTCCTTTTTCTGTGCCATACTATACAAAGGTAATTTATCATCGTATGAATGAGCTAAGTGTCATCCTCTTACTCTGGACATAGGGGTGTAACAGCACCTTCCGGCCTGGTATGAAATTTCCTCAGTTCAGTATGTCCTGTGATTCAAACTATCACTGTGAGAATAGTCTATTTTAGTGTATGTACTCGCCTCGTGGAACAGAAAATGTAGAACATGAGTTCCACCTTGAACGATTTGGCAGTGCACCAGTTGTTGTCTATCAGCTATAGCATGCCAGCAGGGTTAGCTTTGAAAGCTGCGCACGGACTGTATGTTTTTTATTAATCTTGCATGATGTGTTAAGTCACACTTGAAGATTTTAACCACCTTCATGCACAGCCAGAATCTAACCTAAGCACAAAGCCCTGCTCAGTTCCGTCCTCTGACAATTCCAGTAAAGCTTAATCAGACAAGATGGCTATGTCCTCAGTATTTAAAGTGATAAAGTCAGAAAAACTTGCTCCTGCAGTAGTTGGTACTTGAAGTCAAAACTGAATATGTTGCACTGTCTATAAAAATGGTTATACTTCAGGGTGTGCAGGTCAGTCTCTTACAATAAAGCATTATTGACATTAGCATTATTTATTCTTTCTTACTGACAAAGCACGAGAACTTGATCGTATTTTGTGTATTTCATTTGTTTTCTCTACTTCACTTTGATTTTTATGTATTGGTACACGTCCTAAAATCAGACATTTGTAGACTCAATGTACAACAGTCTAATATCACTTAAATGTTAAATAATTCAAAATTGTATCACCTTGCAGTAATTACATTACTTCTAAGTTGATCAGTTGGGCATGTGCTCTCATATAAAATTAAATGTGCATGTACAGGCCCCCTGGTAGGAACTCACTGCAAAAAAAGTCAATGCACTGTTCATTACTAAGATTCAAATATTTTATTCTGACGAGTCCTCCTTGGTATGGAGGGTACCAGTGTTGCACGGATTTCTGGAGAGATGTTTTGTCAGTCGTCAGAGACAATTTCATAGTTGTTTGTTGTTGGAAGGGTTGTGTTGCTCTACCTTGCTCTTTAAAATACCTCAAAGGTGTTCTGTTGTATTCAAGTCAGGCGACATATTTAGCCAGGCCGTAATATTCACTTTTCCTTCCTTTGAAACTCTTCTGTGGTTTTTGGCAGTGTGCTTTGGATTGTTATTATGCTGCAATATTCCTGAGAGTCATCTTGTCAGTCAGTATTTGGTATATCCACCGGCTTTCATGGTGCCATCTATAAATGTCATCTCCCCAACAACTCATGCAGCCTCACGTCATCACACTCCCACCTCCTTGCTGCCCCGTTGGGACTGTGCATTCACTATGGTAGTCCTGGTGAGGTCTGTGCCACACTTACTGGGCCCCGTCAGAGCTGAACAAATTTATCTGGTCTCATCTTACCAAAGAATGTGCACTCAGTACTCATGAGACTTATTTTTATGCTCTTTAGTAAAGTTTAATCATAAAGTTTTGTGCTGAAGAGCACGCAAGTTTTTTTGTTGTTGCTTTTTTTCCCCCCCTTGGATGGTGTCCATAGACGTTGACATTATGCAGTGTCCTTCGCACTGTCTGAGCTGTCACAGAAAATCTGATTTCCATTGACAATCCCTGTGCCAAGTCTGAAGTACTTGCCCATCTCACAGCTAGATTGCGCAAGCAGTACTGTGTCCGAGGCGTCATTTTTGGAGGACGGCACTGCGGCTCTGATTATTGGCACCATGGTTCGTTATTTACCTCCTGATTACTGCTGCAGATATGTTTTGGCAGATTTTTAGTTGGTCACCAATCTTCCTGTTTCCTTTTTCTATCTTTGTGATAATGAAGTTGTCTCACTTGTGTATCAGTGATTACAGATTCATTCACTTTTGTTGCAGTGCGTTTCTACTTAGGGGCCTCTATTTTCAGTAGAGGTTGTCTAAGGTATTTGTCTTTGGCAGATACTCTTGAAGAGACTACATAATTATGAGCATCTGCAACATTGGCGTATTTGCATCTCTGTCTGCTTTCCACCTGTGAAGGCTTTTGTTATTTCTACAAGTTCAAACACTATACCATTTTTTAATGCAGAGGCTGCCTGATATGATGCCTGAAATAAAACAGCTGGTCTGACAAGATGTTGCTTTAAAAAAAAAAAAAAAAAAAGCTCCCTCATTGCATTCATTGCCTTCATTGCGTCTTTTCTGTATCACTATGACAACTCACTCCTTGCACACGATGGTGGATTGATGGAAATATTCTTTTCGTTACAGTTTTTGTGTGAGCTTTATCGTCTGTTTTCCATTTAAATATCATTTAGCCGCATGTTCAAGACGAATTAGTCTCCTGAAGTCAGTCTGTCAATCATTGTTATTCTCATGCCTTCACTTGAAACGGTAAATGCTTTTTTGAACACCAGAATATAAAATTTAACCTTGTTTATCTGCACGTTGGCTCAAGATCAGGCCTGACCAGGACAGACAGGAGCCGAAAGGTTAATATTTGATCTGCTTTGCAGAATGGATGTCTCAATATGTAATGTATAAGTGTGAAAGTAATTCAGGTGTCTGATCTTTAAATGTCTGTTGTTTTCAGTTTTCACCTTTTGCCAAGGGCTCCAAGCGTTACATGCTGTCCACTGGAACTGATGCTACTGTTTGCTTCTGGCAGTGGGACGTCCACAACAACAACTTCAGGTGAGCACTGCTTGTTTGGTAAGAGTGTGTGTCGGAAATTGTGATATTTAGACATTTTTTGGTCAAATTAATAATCCTTTTGATACCTTTAAAGATTGTTGTTTACTATGAACCCAGTGTGTTTTAATGTATTTTTTTTTTTAAAGTTCTCATGACGAAGAAGTTGTGTGACTCTATGGAAGGAAATGCTGACTATGAATATTTTTACAAAACACAGTTTGGTTTGTGTGTCAGTTTAACTGTAAGCTGGAGCTTGAGTTGAAAATGTTTCTCCTCATTTAAATCAGCAACAGGCCTAAGGCATAACTGGAAAACATGCCAAACTGGGTTGAAAGTATTCTCTGTCCCAACGCTGGTTATTGTATCAAACACTAAACCTTTGATGTAGGTGCATGGAATTTGCCTGCTGTGCCTGATGAAAACTGAACTAGAAAGCATTGAGTTGTACAGTAAACCATCATGGAAAAGTATAAAAGAATTGCACCAATGAGATGTTAAGAGAGACAAAGTGGCTATTAAGGGATTTATGTGATATGCAAGTTTGTGGATGAGCCTTATCTGACATAAGACCGAAAACTAGACGTCCGATCTGGCTGCATTCATATCTGTAGTCTTGGAGCTGAAATTCAGGTTAGTTTGTATGAAACATTAATTGACAGTTTTGTTGAAGACTTAGTAAAGCTAGATTCAAAGGTTAGTACAGGTCTTACTACTTAACTACTCGTTGCCAAAGGGCATGTGGAGGCAAATGAGGCTGCGTCTGCAAATCTCTTTCATACCAGATATTTTTCAGTCGTCTGCTCCTATTTGATACATGTCACGAAAAAATTCCTGCTTTGGATGAAATCAGTAACATTTCTTTTGTTCTTGTTCAAGTGATCGGCCACACAAATTTACAGAGCGCCCGAGGCCAGGAGTTCAGACTGTGTGCTCCTCATTCAGCCCAGGTAATTAGTCATTTCATGTGGACTATTTTATGGGTGATTCCTTGTACAATCCACCAAATCTGGGGGAAAAAAAGGTTCCTACCTGACTGCAGAAGAATCAGCTGATTTATAAAATGAACAAAGAAGTTATTTGGATTAAAAACTTAAAGCTTGTTTTCTGAAAAACCTTTGTATTTTTCAGGTGGGATGTTCTTAGCAACTGGAAGTACTGATGATGTCATCAGGATATATTACGTCGGAAGTGGGAGTCCAGAAAAGATATCAGAGCTCCATGAGCACACTGTAAGAACCCTCCAATGAGTTGAACTTTAATGTATAGCACACTATATATAGAAATAATACTGACAATAACTTTGAGCTGCAAGTCTACTTTTTAACATGAGAAATGTGTACTGTTTTTTCTTATCATTCTCCATATATATATTCTTTTTCAGGACAAAGTTGATAGCATCCAATTTTGCCACTCAGGTGAAAGGTATGAAAAAAGTCTCTATATATTATTGAATACTGCACAGTGATTACTGTTTTGTGTATTGCATGAGTTAATATTAAATTAAATGTAACAGTGTATACATATCTTGAATTTCCTCAAGAAGGTTGATGTCTTGTCAGTATCTGTCTATCAATAAAAAGTGGTGGTGCATGGTGTCTGTTGCTTTCCCATCTCAGGTTTGTGAGTGGAAGTCGAGATGGAACTGCACGGATCTGGAAACTCCATCAGCGGCAGCAGTGGAGGTGCATCTTGCTCAATATGTCCGCCACTCTTCCAGGGTAAGGACTCACTTTGTTGTTGCATTCCAGTTTGGATGAAAGCAAAGCAGTGTTATGTTGCTGTCAATGCCTTGAATTTGCGCTCGGTAATTGTGCACTGGTACAAAAACGTACACTGAGCAAGCAGTAGGATATGCAAGAGCAAGAATCCCATTTGCAATAAAATGCATCTGATTTGCTGAATGAAGAGCAACCATTTGCTGTCTAAGCTGCCTCAAAGAGCTGTCGGAGCTTGTCCAAGTAGACCAGGTGCTGATGTGAGCTGAGGAATCCATTTGCTCAAATGTATTATTTGTTCAGTTGTCAGATTGTATAAGTCTTGGCTCTGTCATCTGCTTGCAAAACTGTGACTAACAGGTTGTGAAAATTTTGCATCAATTCCAGCTAAGGCTTGACTGACTGAATCTTTCGGTGCAATACAATTATATGAAAAGATTTTTGAAAACCCTTGTTTGCTGATGTTGTACAATTTGAAATACTGTCTATGATTCACACTGTAAATTTTACACATTTATCACTGCTTCAGATGTATTAAGTAGCCTGGTTTATTATTTGTTTAATTTTGGAGCACATGTGTATCTACATTAACCTTGATACTTAACTGTAGGCTAAAGCAAGGTATTTGTTCCCAGAGAATAACAAAGAGGAAGGCTTACACATTTCCAAATGCTTCAGTATTAATCCTCTTGCTAAGCTGACTGATAAGACAGATTTTGTGTTCTCTGCATTGTAGCTTTCCAGCAGAGCATACTTCTGGACAGTTTGTTCAGTCTCAAATTAGTCCTACTTCCAAACAACAGTGGCCTTTTTACACTGTTTAGTTTATACAGAATTTACAAAATGAATGCAGTGATACAGTAAATCACTAAAGTATGTCTATCGGGGTTTTAGCTCCAAAGTGTTCTTTTTGGAAAACACCCAGCTTTAATGTCTTGGGGAAGAACTAAAAAGGAGCCTCACTGGCAATTTCTAAAATTGGCTCATGTGCCAAAGGTTGTAAACCAAAGTTGAAATTGCCTTTCAGAAGTAATTTTTAATGTTGAAAAATAATGTACATTTTTCCTCGCTGTATGTTGTCTCCTTACATTCAGTACATTTGTACTTGAGTTTAAAGGGGATCGCTGTAATTAAAGGATTCCTCATGAGGTGGGATTTATTTCAGTACGAAGAGGGTTTTGTATATGAATTTTCATATTCTTTCGAGCAGTGTGAAAGCAAAAATTGGCAAAGACAAAACATGAGAAGAAGCTGGACCACAAAGCTTCACTTATTTATTTAGCTGAGGAAGTCAGTGGTAGATCACATGAAGTGCACTCAGTCTGTTCAGTATTACAGATTTTGTGATAAATCTGCTAAATTCCACTATGGCATGAAATGGTAGGACTGACACTGTTTTTTAGCACACGAGAAGCTCCCAACGTGTTAATAATCTTCAAAGTGAAAGACAAAACACGAGTACACAGAGAACAATCCAGTGGAAGAGGAACAGGGAGAAACATGAATATTGCAATAACTTGTAGATAACATGGTCCTAAATTCTAGAAATTGCATCAGATACAAACTGCCAGATATTTCACTGTCATTTATGTTCAGTACTTCTGCACCTCTGTCACTATGAGACAGTATGTTTTAGGAGGTGCAATGTATCTATTGAATATTGTCTGATTAAATGTTTCTTTTTCTCTCAGTGCTGAACCAATGAGTGAAGAGGAGAGCTACTTCAAACCCAAAGTCACCATGGTAGCGTGGGATCGCCATGACAATACAGTCATCACGGCTGTTAACAACCATCTCCTCAAAGTGTGGAACTCCTACACAGGACAGCTGCTACATATCCTTAAAGTAATTTTGCACAATGTTCAGATTCTCTTCGTAAGAAATAGAGAATATAATTTAACCCCTGAAACTGGTTAATTTTAAACTAGAGAATAACCTGATTGTTGCTTTCAGGGCCATGAGGCTGAGGTGTTTGTCCTCGAACCGCACCCTTTTGACCCCAGGATCATCCTGTCTGCCGGCCACGATGGGAATGTGTTCATATGGGATCTGCTGCGAGGGACAAACACGCAGCACTACTTCAACATGGTACACTGACACACAGCACCGCCCCAACCTGATGTTTACAGAATAGTGAACATCTGCATAATGCAGCACAATGAGCACAAATTTAGGGACATGCCATGATGAATAACATCACAAATCGGCAATATGTGGACGGATGACACTGAAGCTGACTTTAATGTATTATTAGTCTGTGAAGAAGTGTTACTTAGAGCATCACATAGTGTGCTTGCAAGTGTTTTTTTTTTTTAAATGTGTCTAACTCTGCTGCTTTACTGTTTCCAGTCCTTTCAGGGGGTTTTCTTTTCACCTCCTCTGTTTTCTGGGCTCTTGGCACAAAGTGGATAAGAGGAAGAAACAGAATATGATTTTTACTTTGGGGGCCTACAGGATCTGAAAGGGGAATAATTAGACAGACACACATTGTGAACAGATATTAGAAACATTTTTTTCAAAAAAGGTGCTACTGTTAATAATTCTGCTTTTGTGCTGAATTTGTCACCTTGTTAATGAGTTTTGTTACCTGGGGTGTTTTTGTGTTTTCCATCCAGATTGAAGGCCAGGGTCATGGAGCTGTTTTTGACTGCAAATTCACTCCTGATGGCCAACGTTTTGCCTGCACAGACTCCCATGGCCATCTGCTCATCTTTGGCTTCGGTAGTTCCAAGCCCTATGAAAAGGCAAGAATAATTATCGTATTTTACAGATTGAGAAAATGTTATATCTCTTGAAAACTCACTCCAAATATAAGAGCACATGTGCCTGATCTCACATTATGTAAAAATAACAGAGCAGTAAAGTGAAGTCATTTCCTGAATTGCTGTTTCTTCTGGCCTCCACACAGCTTCCAGACCAGGTGTTCTTCCACACAGACTACAGACCACTGATCCGGGACTCTAATGGCTTTGTGCTTGATGAACAGACACAGCAGGCACCTCATCTTATGCCCCCACCGTTCCTAGTGGATGTGGATGGCAACCCTCATCCACCAAGGTAGACATCACATTCTTTCAGTTATACAGCAGCAATACAGTCTTCAGTTATTAACTGTGGGTTCATATATTTGAATGTTAAGTCCAAGGTTCCCGATGTCAAAAGCCAGCATTAAGAACTGAGCTGAGTAATGCAGTTAAATGATTTTCTTTTGCTTTACAGTCATATTGTCCTTGAACATCTTTATGTAAATAATTCACAGCAATGGAAGTGTTGGTTTTACTCACTACTAGCAACAACGACTCAGCTTTGATTTCTTTACATCTTGAATCATTCTCACCGCTTTTGAGTTTCAATTTTCATTTGATTTTTCAGGTACCAGCGTCTTGTCCCCGGGCGGGAAAACATTGCTTCTGAGCACCTAGTACCTCAGCTGGGATACGTAGCCACCAGTAAGGCCATATTTTGACCGTAACTAGCGCTAGTACAGTTAAAAGAGATAACATGTACTGTTTTGCTATATCAATTACAAATTCATTTTCACTGCTTCATCAGCCAACTAGATTTAAGAACACCAGAACTTTATGTTTCCTTCTGAAATGCCAAGCGGGATAGTTTTTGAAAACCGCCCACTGTAAATGTCTGCAAACTTCTCTGACGACTCCAGCCAACCTCTTGATTGCTCTGTGTCACATCTTCAGGTGATGGTGAGGTGGTGGAGCAGGTGATCAGCCAGCAGACCGCAGAACTCGAGGAGATTGCAATAAGACGGAGCAGCCTTCTGGACGAAGCCATCCGACAGCTTCAGGAGCAACAGGACCGGCAGCACCAGCCCCAACTGGGTTCTGGAGCAGAAGGGCAGGCTGAGCCACACGGTCCAGTGTTGCCACCAGCACCAAGCACTCCACGCAGAGGTATCAGTACACCACCAGCATTGCGTTAGCTTGTTTTAATTGCTTTGTTTTTTTTTGTTTTTTTTATTTACAAAGCCCTTACTGTTTTGGTTTGTTTTGTTTTTTGATTTGTTTACCCTGCCTGTATTACTTCACTAATGTCCATTCATGTGGGCCCTTCAGCCCACATGCTCAAATAATTGGGTTACACTGCAGGTGCTGGCTGTTTTTTGCTGAGCTTTGAAAATCCAGTTTTACTCACTGTGCCCCTATGACCTATAATAACCTGTAGTACAATCTAAAAGCTTAACACATTTTAACCATAGAGCAATTCAGGTTTTTCATTTAACCTGGTTGTACTTCTTGCTCCTCTTGTTTTATTTGATTAATTTGTTTTTAAATTTTAAAGGCTCTAATTAACGTCTTTTAATATTTTACTGACTTTGCCGCTTAATATTTTCATCATATTTGTAGTTTGTTCCGTGTGTGCGTACATCGTTTCTCAGCTACATTGTAAATGAGGCCTCTATACCTCACTGTCTGATCCCACTGACTGAATATTTCTGGGGTGAGCTGTTGAATGTGAACTGTGTGATTTTTAAAAATTTCACACGATGTCACAAAAACATCACACAAAGATGTAAAAAGAATGATTCCGTTTTCTTTGACTGCAGTGTCCGTGAACGACCGAGCAGATGTGCAGTCGCCCCCTAACGTGGGTCTGCGTCGCAGCGGACAAGTGGAGGGTGTTCGACAGATGCACCAGAATGCTCCACGCAGCCAGATGGCCACTGAGAGAGACCTGCAGGCCTGGAGGCGCAGGGTGGTGGTACCTGAGCTGCCACGCAGCAGCTATCGGTAGAGTCTTACCTTTATCATCTAAAGATATGAGACGTGTGTGAGTGGGACTGTGTGAGGCTTTATATTAGAAGTTGTTACTGGCTAAATTATTTACCCAAAGCAGCATGTTTCACAGTAGTTTTATAGTGTCATCTAATATGACCAGAATAGAAACACATACTTTCATTTCTGATCAGTATTTATTGTAGCCCTTCACAAAAGAAATGAGTGATGTTGATTACCTTGTCACAATAGCACATGTCCAGTTCCAGGATATAATGGATGGTAAGTGAACAGTCAGTCCTTGTAGTGTGTGTTGGATGTAAAAGAAGTGGGCAGGTGTAAATACATGAATACTTAGACAAGGGCCAAATTGTAATGGGTAGATAACGGGTCAGAGAATCTGAGAAATAGTGGGATGCTCACCATCAGCAGGGATGAGAACCAACCCACAGTGGTCGGAGGAGGAACAAACCAGCGACAGACTGTAGGTGGATGTGTTGGAACAAATTTGGCATGTGGCAGCTCCAGCTTGCAACTTAGCACTGAGGTCTTGGTGCCAGACACCACAGGGTGCCTTCAGAGGTCTTTTAGACTCTGTGCTTTGGAGGGTCATAGCTGTTTTGGCGGCATACTAGGCAGGAGTTGTAATAATGTTTGGTTTTAATCTGTGTGAATTCAGCAGAATTAAACATTTTCAAAAAATGTAATCTTTGATGAGTTGATAGTGAGAAAGTCAGACAAAAAGTCTTTTACCTGAGTGTTTTTACAGTCCTTTGTTACATGACATGTAAAAAGGATTGAGGAGAATATGAACGTAGCCTGGTTCTTAATATCAGGCTTTGACATCAACAAAAAAAAACGACAGTTGTTTATGACTAAACCCTTCCAGGAAAGTGTGACTTCCATACCTTTGGAGATTTAATGTAATTTCCTTTTGCTCCAGGTTTTGTTACTGTTTCTCATAAATTTTAAACAATGTGGAAATTATTTTTCAGGGACCAAGAGGACATTCGAATAGCCAAAGGAGATGAGGAGGTGGTGCTGTACAATGCAAAGAAGAGGCGCATTATCTACAGCAGCTGTCGAGTAGGTTTCTCTTTCCTCAGTTGGCTAAGATGGTCTTAATTAGCAGTTTGAAAAAATGTTTTCTCTTTAATGCTGTGAACTGTTATTTGGCCTTTTGTACTAAAGTCTACTAGTCTGCAAAGTGAATGCTACAGCATCATTGTAACAACAAATAGTGGTGGGTTTAATAACATACAAGTTCAAAGGGCAAAATGCATATATGGTATACTGTATATTTACATTCCCCTTTGAAACAATTCATTCGTTCATTCTCAGAAATCAAAATTCATGTTTTCAGGTTTTCTCTTTGTTCTTCATGACTATTTCAGTACAATTTTTTTTCCCACCGGTGTTGAGTCAGTCCCATTTGTCCCTCCAGGATGATTCAGACGATGAGGCCTCCTCTGCAAAGCGAGCACATGGCCGCAGTGATACGCTGGATTACATCGATTTGTCGTGTGAAGAGGGAGAAGAGACTGCAAGTTCAGAGGTACACAGCGAGGTAACATTTTTCTACTCTCCCATGACTTAATAGTGCCACTTACAAGCATTTAGGGTATTGTTAGATATAGTTTTTGTTTAAAAAAAAATAAAAATGTATATATATATATTTTCCAGGACAATGAAATGGATGGCAGTGAACTGGATTCCTCCAATGATGAAGAAGAGTGGAATAGTGACAGCTCAAGGTATGAAGCTTTATAGACGAGGGTCACAGGAAGTCGCTCTTTGAACTTGAGTACCTGATAAAAGAGTTTTCCTAAATCACAAACAGGGTTTAGACAGAAAAGTAATCACTTACATGTTAAAACTGTGTTGTCTTAGATGCCAACCTGTTTGGTGCTTTAATCAGGTTTGAACAAAATAATTTTTTTTACATTTATCTACTGTATGTAGCTTGAAATGTAATCATAACTGCTTTTGATCGGACAGCCATACTTCCAGCGAGTACTCCGACTGGACTGCAGACGCCGGTATAAACCTGCAGCCTTCCACCCCCTTGTCGTCACGGAAACGAGTGAGGCGAAGACTAAGCAGCTCTGAAGAGGAAGAGGAGGAGAATGAGGAGGAGGAGGAGAAGCAGCAGCAAAGTGACGAGGAGGAAAAACCTGGGAAGAAAAGCAAGGAGAAGGCCAAGAAAGCGAAGAACAAGTCACCCAGGGTGAGTTTACAAATTCTGCTGATTACTGTAGGAATCGTAACTGGTTAATTATTGCCTTGAAGCTGCTTTAGATTCTGTCACTGACAAAGTGTAGTGGTAAATATTATTTATTTCGTGCTTATTACTTTCATATTTACTCATTTTACTTAGCGTCCAAAGCCCCGACCATCCATTAACAGGGAAGTGTCCAATGAGTTCAGACCGTCACCCTGGATCACTGATGTCATTCCCAGGAAGTCTCCTTTCGTTCCCCAGATGGGCGATGAGGTATGTAACATTGGTAGAGGCTTGTTACAGGAACATGACATGGGTTTGAGAATGTTTTGATTTCTCAGTGCCCTTCCCAGAATTTGGTGTACATGGAAAATGTCAGTATTTGTTTATTTATTTATTTTAATTAATACATTTGAAAAGTAGAAATCAATTGTGACACACGTGTGACATTGTAGTAGCCTGCAGTGCTGCTTAGTACAAATAGTACTTGGACAAATCTGTCTGGTATTAAATGTAACAAAATGACCAAAGGACCCGACCACTCACTGAACGACCATTAAGTTTGTTTTTCAGTTGGCCTTTTTCATTAGAAGAGTACTTGAACCATCTGAGTTTTACTTAACTTTATGGCAGATTTTCATTCACAAATATTAAGTGTCCAACAGATGAAATAAAAACAGGATTCAACACTGTTATGAGCAACAATGCTAGTACATCATCTGTAGTTGAAGTAGTCTTTTGACTCTTCACTGAACAAGATAATGAACAGGCCTACACAACAAATTAAAAAAGCGGATTAATCTAGCCTAGTTTTGTCCTCAGCCGGTAAGTATGCCAGCTAAAAAGATCATTCCTGAGTTAGCACATGTGACCTAATCATAATAATCTAATTTTTTTTTTTGCCAAAAGGGAAAGACTATTTACTTTGTCCGGTTTTACCTGGTAGCAATGTGCTCATGGACAACGTCACAATTTTACTGTGACAGCTTAGCATGAAAATGATGCTCTTTATATCAAGTTAGACTATTGCATTATTATAAAAGGGGCAAAGGAAATGTAAGAACAATGGGAAAATATGGATAAATTGGCTATGATAAATAAAAATTAAGAATATATATTTAGAAACTGGAAAAATTAGGAACTGATTTATGCAGATATGGATGTAGTTTATTACTTTCGGTAAATGTTTTTTTTGTTTGTTTGTTTTTTGTTTTTTTAAGCTCAGCAGGGCTTTAGAATCACCAGTTATTCAGATCATCTACAAAAGTTCCTTTCTCAGCTTTGAATCTTCTGTGCCTGTCAGGTGATCTACTTTCGGCAGGGACACGAGGCCTACGTTGAGGCTGTGAGCCGCAGTGAGCTGTACCCCATCAACTTAGAAAAACAGCCCTGGAGGAAAATGGAGTTGCGGGTAAGATTAAGGCAGAAAAAGAAGATAATAAAATGTTTCCAGCAGATGAAATTAAAGGAAAAGACAAAGTTTGAACAAGTCTTCACTGAGGGCACAAACACTAAAAATGATGTAGGGTTTTGGAATTACAGACTAAATGGAAGTCCTGCTGTTTGTTTCCTAGGACCAAGAGTTTGTGAAAATCACTGGAATCAAATATGAAGTCTGCCCTCCAACACTTTGCTGTCTGAAGCTGACTCTTATTGACCACGGCACCGGCAAAATCACAGACAAGTCGTTTTCTGTCAAGTAAGGAGCTCAGTCACATGAAACATCTCTCTACTCAGAAACACATTAAACGTTTTTTGCTTTTTTTAATGTCATCGGCAGCCCAGCATGAAGGTTGCTTTTTCCTATGTTGTGTTTGGATTTGTTGTATGTATGTCAAGTGTATACTTTAAAAAAGAAAAGGTTACTACAATGTAGAAATGAGAATGCCTACAGTGTTTTAATGAAATGAAAAATACTTTATTTATCCCAGAGGGAAATTCAATATTGTAAAAGCTCACTTTTTTTAAAAAAAAAAATCAATATAACATATATTTATACAACAATAATAATAATCATTCAGTCAGTCAATTGCCAGTCAGTCAGATTGGTTCTTTAAGGTGATGGCTGTTGGCAGGAATGACTTTCTGTATCGCTCCGTTCGACAGCGAAGCTGACGCAGCCTCCCACTAAACACACTCTGTTGATTTTTCACTGTGTTGTGGAGAGGGTGGGAAGAATCTTCCATCATCTTCATCATCTTGTGCAGCATTCTTTTTTGAACAATCAGCTCCAGTGGTTCCAGAGTTAATCATAAGCTCTCTTTACTCTGTTCTGAGTGTCCTGTTTTAGCTGGCTAGACTTGACATACTGTACTGTGTATTGGTATGCACAAGAATCAGTTTCATAGACACAAAGTCTTAAAAGTTTTTAGTACTTTACTGTCAGATTGACTCCGATTTTTTTCCTACAGGTATCATGACATGCCAGATGTGATTGACTTCCTGGTGTTGAGGCAAAGTTACGATGAGGCGCTTCGTAGAAACTGGCAACCAAGTAAGTGAGCCCAGTACACCCTGTTAGAAACGTTTCTTACTAGTTTTTACTGCCAAGTATCACTGTCTGTGCATTTGTTTATTCAGCTCTGTAAGGATAAATTACATTTTTACAACTTTGTCTCAATTTTTGACAAAGAGCTACTTGCTTTGAAAGCATTATTCTACTTTGAGGGTTTATTATTATTTCTGCTTTGTGATTTCGCAGTCAGGGAGGAATTAGGTTTTGTGTTTGCTCACATAGAGCTTACTTCTAGTGATGAATCAGCGCAGTCACCTGCGCAAATAGGTGCCTGGCATTTATTCTCCATCACCTAAATTTACTATTGTTTTCTTTCTTGCAGGTGACAGGTTTCGCTCAGTGATAGACGATGCCTGGTGGTTTGGGACCATCGTCTGTCAGGAGCCCTACCAGCCAGAGTACCCAGATAGTCTCTTCCAGTGCTTCAAAGTCAGGTGGGTAAACACATATATTGTTACAACAGTGTGATTGTGGAGATACTGTGATGATGGCAACAGAATTAATATACCAGCCTGGTTTCCAACACATACTGCTTTTGTGCTTTTGAGGCTGTTGATGTATACATCAAAACTAGGATACTTTAGCCAGACAGCAAGGCTGACTGGCTGACATTGTTTAGGTTGAATGACCCTACAGCAGTGGCATTGTGTACAGTGTAAAGACAAATTTCCAAACAATAAACAATCTTTATTTTTTAGTGTATTTAGAGATCAGCTAGACCTTGTCTGTCTGTCTGTCCCCTAGTGGTTATTAAAAGTCATAACAGCATAATGTCTGTGACTGTGTGTTCTGGCAATGGCAGTAATATTTTCATTACTAGCTTTGTAAAAATGAGACAAAATTAAAGAAAAAACATTATGACAGTGTCATATTAGTTCATATGATAACTGTGATTAGTTAAATAGTTTATCTGAAAAAAGTTATCATGCACTTTTTTTGTTTCCACCAGATGGGACAATGGGGAAACGGAGAAACTGAGTCCTTGGGATGTGGAACCTATTCAAGATGATGGTAATAAAGTTGTCTCACTAGCTTGCTGCTGTCACAAATACACAGTATTGGAGTCTGTTTACAAAGTGTGGGTAGTAAAGGGATTGACAGCATATTGAAAAAGTCTGTCTCCGCTGTGCAGCTCAGCAGCCAGAGACAGAAGGAGGTGGCATCCCTGTGACAGCAGATGAGATGAAGGAGCTGATGTACAAGCCTCTGCCAGGGGAGTGGGGCGAGAGGAGCAGGGATGAGGAGTGTGAGCGGATCATCGCTGGTATCGATCATCTCATCACTGTTGGTGCGTATACATAAATAAGCATTCTGTAATTTCCTTTATGCTCACTTTCACGTCCCTCTGTCATGTTTCTGGTCACTCTTTTTTTCATACGTTCGGGTCTTTACGGATTCCTTTAACTGTGGAACAGATTCTTATCAGTTATTCCAACATAACCTGCTTGTATGTTTGTGCTACAGAGATTGCAGCTCCATTCTCTGGTCCTGTGGACTTGATCCAGTATCCCACCTACTGCACCGTGATCGCCTATCCCACCGATCTGGGCACCATTAGACTGCGACTCATTAACAGATTCTACAGGTCAGTCCCTCCAGTCTTTCCTTCTTCTACCTACCTGATAATCCAAACAGGTGTTTACTGTTGGTCGAGCTACAGTGTACTTGAAATGTTGAAAATAAAACAGACAATGTTTTGTACAGTTTGTGACGACACTGTTTATTTACTCACCTCTGGTGGTCCACAGACGCCTCTCAGCATTAATTTGGGATGCCAGGTATATTGCACATAACGCCCGCACTTTCAATGAGCCAAGGAGCAAGATTGCCCACTCTGCAAAAATCATCACAAATGTCCTGCAGAAATTTGTCAAGTATGTATTACTGAAAGTGTTTCTAAAAAAATAGTCTGCTGTAGATCATGTGATGATACAGAAATTAAACAGACATTATCATTCAAATTCGTAGTCTTTTATACTAATAAGTTGTCACATTTTCTTACTTGCCTAGTAATCCAAGCTGCATTGATATCATGGAGATTTACAATGCTGTGGAAGAAATGGATGAGGATGATGAGGTAAGTCTGGATAAACAAACAAACTTTGGTTTCAGTGTATTTGTTGATTTTTTTTCCTACATACTGCTGTCAAAATATGTTTGATTTGAAAATCCAGTACTGTACATAGATTGTTGACAGTAAGTACAAAGAATTAATAAACAAACAAACAAAATCAAATCAATATCTGCTTTTGAAACAGCACCAATCCTCTAAGGTACACTAGAGCACAAATTTTTAGACATTTGCAGGAAGTTGCTCCAACCATCGTGGAGAACTTGCCACAATTCTGCATGGATTTAGAATCTCTATCGATTTGGTTCTTTGTGTTGTCCCAGCCTCACGTAATGATGTTGAGTTCAGTACTCTGTGGGGTCACACCATCTGTTGCAGATGGCTCTGGCTGGATGTTGTTGAGGTTGTTGTCGGAATAAATTTAGAACCAGTCAGATGCCTCGCTGATCATACTGCATTATGAGTCAGAATTTAAACTTCTAAAGGACTGTTACAACTTTTGCAAAGTTCTGTGTATGCAAATAACAAGTGGATCATTTAGAGAAGAGATTAGGTAAAGTAAACCCGAACTGCTTGTAAGCAGTTGTAGTTGATTGGTAAGAAGGGTGTTCTCCATTCTTAGGCGGTTGTCTGTGATAGCATCATTTGAAAATTTGCAATTCTAAATATCCCAAATTTGTTTGCTGCCTACAGGAAGAAGATACAGAAGCACCTGGAACATCATCAGGACACAGGTTGCGTCAGGTAAATACATTCATAGAACAGATCACATCCAAGAATCTATTTGTAACTCAAAACTGTAGTAGGCCATCAATACTGTCACTGTGAGACATATGATTGATTTGGATTAGAGTATGGTAGCATGCATTATCTGTTAATGATTTCCTCTCTGTCTCCTTGATATGTGCAGCGCTCTGTAGAGGTGCTGCCAGACAGAGATGCCTGGAAGGAACAGTGCAAGAGTCTGCTCAACTACATATTTACATGTGAGGACTCAGAACCATTCAGGCAGCCTGTGAATCCTCAGAACTATCCAGTAAGTAAACACAGCACACTGAGCCTACACTGTGAGTGAGGACACATCAGCAGGTTATGTTTTTTTTTTTTTAGTTGTGTGTGTCAGTGCTTTGGAAGTCTGAATTATGTTTGGTGTGTGTGTCCAGGACTACCACGACATCATTGATACACCAATGGACTTTGGCACAGTGAAAAGGACCCTGGAGGAAGACCACTATGAAAACCCTACAGAGCTGTGCAAAGACACCCGGCTAATATTTGCCAATGCTAAAGCCTACACACCCAACAAACGCTCCAAGGTACAGTGTAATTAGCTCTGTGGAGCAAAGTTAATGTATTGAAACCTCCTCTGAGTTCAGATTTGAAAATAAAATACTTAACATTGATGGTTTTGCTTTATGCTTTATATTTTAGCTTGTCTTCTGTTTTTTTTTCTCTCTCTCTCTTTTTTTTTTTTGTAGATTTACAGTATGACCTTGCGGCTTTCTGCCTTCTTCGAGGAGCGAATCAGAACAATCATATCTGAGTACAAAACGGCTGTCAAAAGCAATGACAGGCTCCGCCGCAGTCAGAGGTTTCGTAAGAAGATGCAGCAGCAGGACCAGCCCTCTGCCACAACAAGGTCTTTGTGAGTTTTGCTTGTCAGCTCAAAAATCATCATTTGGCATGCTTTATATTCCGAAGGTGATGCATTAGAATCTTGCTTAAGTACTGTCTTGTTGCGACTTGTTTCTTTCTCCACACTAACTCAGTGCAAATGTCACAGTAAATTAGATTTAATTTGAAACCGTTAAGGTGTCACTTGTCAGTTTGTGGCTCATGTGTGCAGCAGTCGGATTTAAAACGCGCCGATTCCTCTTTTCTCAAGTCAAAAGAGGGCTGCACTGAAAACTCAGGAAAAAGTGGAGTCGACGTCAGTGACCAAATCTACCTCAGCCAAAGTGTCTGTTCCTGAGAGGACCGGGAGGAATCGAAGCAGCAGCTCAGGTCACAGCTCCTCAGACGACGACTCCGGCTCCAAAGGTGCTTCCTCAACACCAGGTACAAAAGAAATGTTTCCTCTTTAGTAGGTTTTTTTAATAGAAATTGCATCATGACTTTGCTAACAGCAGGTGTGTTGTACATTCATGGTAAGGATGTCAGAACTACTGTTGGAATATATGACAACTCAAAGCTGTCTCAGTGCAATTTTAACAATATTTGCTTCAGATAATGTTTTTCTAAAATGCAATGAAGCTTAATACTGTAGTTCACGCTTATAGACACATGAAGGGCTGTATTTGAATTGTGTTAATTGTTGAATGCCATTTAATTGTGTTGGCATAAAAAAAAAATCAGTTTGAGTCCTCATGTCGTTTGATTAATATGTTCCTCTCTGCTCTGCTCTCTGTTCCTGTATTTCAGAGTCTGAGAGTGAGCTGAGCGTGTCCGAGGAGGAGAAACGTCCAGGTTCCTCAAGGCACCATCAACGCAGACATAAAGCAAGAGTTACAAGGAACAACCGTGCCAAGCAGAGGAAAAAAGGTCAGGAATGAAGTATTTCCCCAGGAAAAAAAGAGAAAATAAATTACTTAAAATTGTATATTGAGCAAATTGTCCTTGGAAAATTTTATTGTTACTAGTTGCTGAGAGCGACAGTGAAGATGAGGAAGAAGATGATGAGGAAGAAGAATTTGACAGTGAAGGTGAAGAGGGAGAGGATGGAGAGGTGTCCTCCCAGTCTTCAGATCGTCGCTACCCCAGCAGGAGTAAAAGCAGCAGGAGTACACGGCTGACCAGAAACAGCGCTGCTGGAGACAGAAAATGGACAGGTAAAGACTACTGACTATCTTCAGCCTCAAACTGAGGAAATCACAAAACCCACCAGTCAATGTGTTAAATCATCGTTCTGAATGGCTCGTTTTCAGAGGGCAGAGCTGAAGTGAACGGCCACAGCAGCAGGTTGTCTCGCAGGGAGAGGCGTCACCACCACGACTCTGACAGAGCCACGTCTCAGGGCTCTGACAGGGAAGAGGGAGTCACAGGTCGTAGGTCACTCAAGAGAAAGACTGCGAGGGCAGCTGTGAATAAGATCAAGCTCCTTGAAGCATCGGATGAAGACTACGAGGAAGAGGACGAGAAGAAGCCAACGAGGAGCAGCAGCCGTCTACGCCACACATCCCGGGTCAGCAAACGGACTGCGGTGATCCAGAGCAGCTCAGAATCAGATGGAGAGTCGTCAGCAAGAGGTAGGCAAATGCTTTTCAGAGTCAGAAAATGTACAGTACCAGAAAATGCATATTGTTTTAAGTTTTTAGGCGCCGTAGGGGATAGAGTTTCAGTTCTGCCCTTTTGTTTTATTTTCTAGCCTCTCAGAATACAAAGGAATCAGGTGGGGAATCCAAGGATGAGGAGGATGGAAATGGCAGCGATTCTTCATCCTCCTCCCAGAATAAGCAGAATGGAGACACAAAGTCAGTCAAACAGAGAACATCAAGACAAGCTGCCAGGACTAAGGGAAATGGTGAGAAATGTCCTCATCAATCACATTTCATCTTTTTTTGTGTGTGTGCTCGTAGTTTGAAAGTTGCTCTAATCAGATATTTTTCCTTCTTCCTGTGCAGATACTTTGTCCCATGTGAATGGACACAGTGCAAAACATCACAAGTCTAAGAGCAACTCTGAGCAAGAGGAAACTGCAGAGAGCTCTGGCGAAGCTGAGGAGGAAGAGGAGGAGGTGCAGGCACCCAAGTCTCAGAAATCCTCTAAAAGAACTGCAGCTGCTCCAGCCAGGAAAAGTAGGATTACAAGTGAGGAGGAAGAGGACACTGAATGCCAGACCACAAGACACAAACCTCCTGTAAGCTCAGATGACGAGGACAAAGACCACAGTTCCCAGAAACACCCACACCAAAATGGGAGAAATGTGGAGGAAGCAATCCACACAGACTCCAAGAAAAAAAGTAAAGTTTTACCGTCAAAAAGCCAAGACAAACAAAAGTCTGCCTCAGCTAACAAACTGGATGGTGCAGAATCCGATGAAAATAGTGATTCTCCAAAGAGATCCAGCCCACGCAAGAAAAAACTGAAAAAAGAAGAGCAGGAAGTAGAAAGCAATCACTCCAGTGAGGAATTTGAGGTTGAAGCAAAGACAAAGAGGTCAACAAGAAACAAGAGCAAATGTAAACGGCCTCGTGGTGAAACCTCGGCTTCAGAGACTTCTGAGCAGGAATACAAACCCAAGAGGAAGTCGAGGAGGAAACGCTCCACTGGCTCATCAGACGAAGAGTCGGATAATTCAGATAACACATCTAACAGGCGACTGAACCTTCGAGTCCTACCAAAAAAGAAATACATCAGCGACAACTCTCTTTCTGAGGAGGACTCCGCTTCTGCGAACCAGGGTAGGCAGAGAAATGGTAACAAAACAGCAGTGGGGTCGAGGGAGGACAGGTACAATGCAAGAGTGTCTACCAGAACCTCTCCCAACGAAACCAGGAATCGGCTGTCTTCCAAGAGAAAACGCATTTACACTTCAGATTCTGAAGACGGTGAGGAAAAGGCAGCACCCAAGAACAATAAAAATAGTAGGTCAGGCTCCTCAAAGCACTCCAAAAGGGATTCCAAACAAGAGGATGGTAACAGCAACGAGAAGGAGACTTCTTCCCACTCTGATTCCAGCGAGGATGAGGACGAGGAGGAGGAGGAGGAGGAGGAGGAGGAGGAAGATGCTGGTCGTTCAAGGAGGGGGAAGAAAAACACAAGGCAGCCAAAACACAAGAGAAAGGAAAGCTACAGCAGCAGCAAACACAGTTCAGACTCAGAAAGTGAGCAGTCGTCTTCAGCCTCTGAAAACTCATTTGCCAGCTCAGGGTCCCACAGCAGTCCAAAGAGGAGAAGTCACGTACGGTCTGGGATCGGTGAAAGGACTGCCAGCCGCCAGCTAAGGCAGCGTCGCCAGCGTGCTGCCTCAGAGGAGGATGACAGTGACGTGTCATACAGCCAACCGCGGCGAAAGACTCGCGTGAACACCCGGAACCGGGGAAAGCGGACGGTAAATTATCATGACAGCGAATGAAGGACGTAGCGGCTGGAAGTACAGACTTTAGAGGGAAGACACACATTAACTGGAGACCTTAAAGACACTTGATGGCCACGTTATGGTAGTAGCACTGGAGTCCTCGAGAGAAAATGCTGTGAATCTGTTTCATTCAGGGATATTTATATTTTCTATGAAAAACATGTTTATAGATGTAATACAAATTCAAGCATTTGAACTGCTGGTTTTCACAAGGATACAGAGCAAAACACCACCTCCCATACTGCTTGTTGTGATTTGGCCAGCAGAGTAACCATTCTGGGGAATCTTGTCAGCTTGGGTGCTATCTAATATACCTCTGTTTAATCAAGCATATTGCTGGCTTGCACTAAGATACACTGTAATGAGGTATTTCATACACTAGTTTTGCATTAGAAACTCAGGGGTCAACTAAGTTTACTGTAGTCTCAGACATGCAGTTGCGTTTTGAGCTAAGGTAAGGACAAGAAACTATTCCAGGTCGGCAGATGTCCAAGCACATTCACTGGGACAAAACAAATCCATGTTCAGACTTTTGACTACAGCACTCCTTTGTAAATCCACACACTTAAAGCTTGACTGTATTGTAAGTTGATATGAGCCAAATGAACGAAAATGATTTCCCCCCCCCCCACATTTCATTTTTTTCATTAGATTTGTGTTGTATTCTAGTGAATAGATGTAAATATGTGATTGAGAACAAAATTGTCTGAACGGCTTGGCGATCAGTTTGTAGCAAAGCGTTTATTTAAATTTGAGCTTTTTTTCCATTTTTTTATTTTTATTTTTTACATTTATCTGCATTGTCTTGCCATATGTCATAAATTGGTACATTTTTGCCAAGTACAAATAACCAAAAGTACTTAATGCAAAATGCTGTCATTTCTCATATTGGGAAGACCTTTTATTGTTGTTCTGTGTTACTTACTTTCAGTATTAAATTCTTTTTCAGAGTTGACTTAAGACATTTTGCCAGTCACATGGTTTCATTTTGTTTATTGGGAGGTTTCTAAATACAGTCGCTTTATGACATTTTGCTTAATGTTTTTCATACTACACCTTTAATAAACAGATTTCACAGGAAAACTATTAACGCAATGTGGTCGTGGAGTGCAAGGAATGAGTTATTCTTCCTATTAATAAAGACATAATTTCAAGATGCATTCTGTGTTGAAGTTAATTGTATCCTCTGACATCACAAAGATAGTACATCTGTTTATATTACTTTGACATAAATGATTTTCTTTCTAATTTGTCACAGTCAGTTATTTCAAAAGTAACTTTAATTCTGTATCTGTTGCATTGTCTTTGCCTTGCATATTATTATTATAGTTATTTATGTAGCACTTTGTCATACAGAGATTATTCAAGGTGCTGTATTCAAAGGTTTAAAAAAAAGTACATTAAATTAAAAAAAAAAAAAAAAGAACAGACAAGTTCAATGACAAACACAAATTTCATTGAATAACTGAAATTGATAAACAGAAAAATAAAAATAACATAAAAGATAATGTTTACAATAAAATAAAAATGAACTCAAACAGATAAAAGAGGAAAGTTTTTTTTGCACTGTAGTGCTCGGACCCTAATAAAAGAACTGGCAATGTAGGAAACTTTTTAAATAAAAAGCCAAAACTGACAAATTAGTCACAGTCATGTTGCATGCATACTCCGTCTCTCAATGGGCCATGGACAGATGCCCATGAAGAACATTTTTTAATAATTCCCAGAAGACAAAACTATTATGTATATAGGGGTTTCGGCGTTATTTCAACGGTGTAGTTTCAGACAGCATGTAAACATGCTGGTTTTATTATGAAGAGGTTCTTAATAACGTCATTTCCGGTAATGACTTTAGGTAGCTCATCGCACTTTCGGCAGATTTGAATTGTACAGTCTTTTTTGTTATAAGTCATGTTTTGTTTAAAAGCAGTAGTATTCCCCAAACTACAACTACTTGCGTTTACCCTCTACTTTTTTTTGGCTATGGTTGTGAATTACTGTAATGTGTGTTTTATGCGTTTCTATTTTTTCGCGAAAGTACCAGCGGCTACAGTTGTTTGGATTTACTTGGACAGATAGCCAGCCAGCTAACATGTGAGCAGCTATGTTTACTACAGATACGCTTCTTACGTGACAAAAAAAGACGTTTTGCCTTCAGTTTCCCCGAAGAGAGAAATTTAAAATATATAAGTGTTATTTAAATAAGTTATTTACATATCCGGCTTTTGGAAACAGGCTGACGTCAAAGCTGAAATTTAGCATGCCCTCTATGTTTAGCTACTGTCTGCTCTGTTAGCCTCAGTGGACAAAAACTAACTGAAATTAAAGCAAATTTAATAGAAAATGTCTGCGTGTAAAAGGTTGCTTTACCTCGTAAAGCAAAGGAGTGTTTGGACACAGGTTGGGAGAAATGTCACAACATGGTCGCCTGTTGGAGCTGCTTTCAATGCCAAACCTCACAGGAGACTGGATCTGTTTGAGAAAAACGTGGTTGGTATTTGTCTTTAATGTTTCTGTTAAGTTACAACACAGCAAGACGAATGTCTCTGTCTAATAATAACATGTTGGTGGTAATATTTTGTCATAACATTTCCAGTCTGTGTGTTTGACCTGTGGCTGCAGGGCTTGTTTGGAGTGCCAGAGCTCAGCTGTCCTGCAGGCTTCCAGGCAGCCACAAAGACAGCTCTGAAGAACACACAGCGGCTGGTGCAGAAAGCTTGTTCATGTCCTTCAGGAGCTGAGACAGTCGAGTCTTTTGACCAGCTCTCAGATGGTTTGTGTAAAGTGGCCGATTTGGTAAGTTCAACACTCCATATGTGCCAAATCTTTGTATGATAACTGGAAATATGTGTAATTAAGCTAGTGGTATTATTCACATACACTATATCACAAGGTAACAAGCTGATATTTAGACAGTTTTCATTCAAGGAAAGCAATCAGGTTGAAGGTTTGTACACAGGAGCCGTTAATTTAAATGGGCATTAATATGCAAAGCTAATATAAAAGGATGTCTGTAATGCCCAATTATTTTTATTACCCACATGACAAATCAGCTGGCACCAGTATGTCAACAGACACTGGCTTATCAGAGAAATATTGGTGTCTGTGTTCATATGCTGAAACTGTAGCACAGAAAACGTTACTTTGAGGCAATTTAGAAATAGTCACACCATTACTTTGTTTGTCCACGAGGCACCACTCAGATGATTTTAAAAACTCCTATTCAGTACTTCACTGTCTGCTGAGTAATGTTTTTAATACTAAATGTTTGTCAGGGTTCAACATTAATGCTAAAGTATTAGTATAGCCTCAAAAATGCAGTGTCAGCTGAATTAATTACAACGTATGTGTATTTTTAACCAAAGCAGTTTGTTTTCATCAGCTTTTGCAGTCTTGATCTGTAAAAAAAATGACTTAAAAAGTGATTCAAACATTGTAAGCTGTGTGCTATCCATGTATTTATTTGACCTCAAAATGTCCTGCTTGCCTGTTTACCTTGTCATTAATAATAAGAGGTTTAATTGTGCTTCCTTTATTCAGGCGGACTTTATAAAAGTAGCTCATCCAGATCCAGCATTTCGAGAAGCTGCAGAGAAGACCTGCATAGAGATTGGCACAGTTGTGGAGAAGTAAGAAGCAATGTGTACTGATCTCACCTCTGCACATGCCTTTTCATAGCTGCACAACAACATGTGAAAATATGTTAGGATGTACTGCTTACAACAACAAGATGATGCAGGTTATTGAAGGGATTTTTCTGCGTTCTTTACTTCTTGAGACACCCTTTACAGAAGTTCAGGTTTTGTGACTATTTGTTTCAGGCTGAACACCAATGTTGAACTATGCAGGAGCCTGAAGAATTTGCTGGACAACCCAAACATTGTAGCCCAGCTGGACCCTGATACAAGGTAACTTTACTCTTGTCTTGTTTAGTCTGTGGCTGTACTGTAGACATTGCAGAAGGTGTTGAGACAGTTGTGCATAAAGGATTTATTGTTTATCTTTTTCACAATTATATCAATATCTCACAATGATATGTCCAGCGTTGCTAAGTTTAAACATTAGTTTATGCTTGCAATTTGTAGGCGAGTGGCAGAGTTGTTCATGTTTGACTTTGAAATCAGTGGAATTCATCTGGATGACAAACTGGTGAGTTACTCAGAATATATCGTTGTTTCCATTTCATAATAATTTTTAAAGCACATGAATGTTAAAATAGAGATTAACCATATAAAATAAAGTAAAGACAGCATTCATAATCATCTCTGGTACGTATTTACTGAACCTGCTGCTCTTTTCCCTGCAGAGAAAAGAGGCTGTTGGCCTCCATGTGAAGTTGTTGGATCTAAACAACGAGTTTCTGGTCGGCTCTCACATGCCAAACAGAATCGCAAGGTCTGCAATTCCTGAGCATCTACACCTGCAGTTTGCCAGTGAAGGAAGCTTCATTCAAGTTGGGGGATTACATGCAGATTCCCCAGATGACTTTGTATGTATTTGTACTGGATCCCTGGAACATTGCAACATTTGGCCAGCAGATGGCACCTTTGTCATATCTTAGATCATCAGACTGGATTTAAGAGCAGGTCTAATTTAATGGTTGCCTGTTCTGTCCTCATTGGAGATTAAATTCTCTGTCAAGATGTTAAAAGATTTAAAAAAAAAAAAAAACAAATAGCTAGCAATATAAATTAGTTCAACAGTGTTTTGAAATCACAGCCTTTAATTTATTAATTTGAATGCAACTTTCTCTTATGTTATGACATTGTAAGAATTTTAATTTAGTCAGGTTCACTGTAAGCCTAATATGAGAGTTAGATAAAAGTGATAAAAACAGTTCAGACAAAACTATAAAGTAGCAAGATGGAGCAAAGTCAGAGTGCAGTTTAATTTTAAAAAATTGTAGAAATGTGTTTTATATATATGTAAATATCTAAGATGTAATAAGGGCTTGCCAGAATGTGATCATCTGAGTTTGTTGTCTTTAACACTTTATTGTTGTTTTTTTTAATGTTGTATTGTTTATTATGAGTTTCGCTCTGTCCTCACTTCCATTGTAGGTGCGAGAGATTGCCTACAGGATTTACCTCTATCCCAATGCAGATCTAATGAACTGTCTAGAGGAGCTGTTAAAATGTCGACACAAACTGGCCAAACTGGTGGGCTATGAGTCCTTTGCACACAGAGCCCTAAAGGGAACGATGGCCAAAACACCAGGTTAAGCATCTCTTTTTACACAGACTCAGTATAATCATGTTTAGCCAGTGTTGTAAGTGTATGATCCTTTAATGGAAAGAGGACAAAAAGATGAATTTGTTATTTATATTTTGATATTGGCGAGATAACATTTGGTAATAATATTAACAGATGGCCAGGAATTTTCCTTTAAGAGATTCCATAAAAGCTTACGAAGTGATTCTTCTAAGTTGCTCTTTCTGTGCCTGTCTCAACTATTCTCACAAAGTTTACATGCTGAAACTTTATTCTTTTAACTCTTTGCAGAGACAGTGATGAGCTTTCTCCAGCTGTTAACAGACAAACTGTCAGACAGGTAAGGTCTTCACTTCAATGTTTTTGTCAGAATATTTACAGATCCAGCATTCAATTTGACACTCTGGGACATTATGATCATAAGTTGTTTTAAAGACTGTTAAAGTCTCACTTAAACCAGTGTTTACCTGTGTAGTAGGGAAGGCCCATTTTACTTAAAAGACTGACTCGAAGATTTATCTCTTCTTATGTGCAATAGTGATTTGATCAGTTCTTGTCACGTTTCCACCTGTGACTCACATTTAGAAGGCCTCCGGGTTTTTGTGTTCCTGTTTTCATGCAAATATATTCCATGTGCTTGGGATTCCTCGAACAGTTCACAAACATGCAACTCAGGTGGACCAGGAGGCTCTAAATTACCCACAAGTATGAGTGTGAGTCTGTTAGCATGGCAGCCTGTCCAGGGTGTTTCCCTGCCTTCAGCCAAATGCATGCTGGGATAGGCTCTGGCCCCCGTTGACCCTGAGCAGAGCTAGGTGGGTAGAGCCAGGAATGATTGCCTGCAGTCAGTTAGCTCATAACTTGTTTGGTGTTTTTCTTTTTATCTCTCAGAACAGCAAAAGACTTTAAGATGATGAGAGGCATGAAGAAGAAACTCAACCCGCGTAATGCTGTGAGTGATTTTTTTCCACAGCATATTCTTTGCATACAAAGTCAGTTTCCGCAACACACAACATTGCACTCAGCGTATCCTGATACATTTTCCTCCATCACTATGTAATCAGTAGTAATTCCTTCAAGGCATAAAGTGATATATTTTAATCTAATTACGTTTTAGTCTGTTTCAGATTCACTATAATTTATTTTGGTATGTTTTAAATTGTCACATGCAAAAAAAATACTCTCGTTATTAACTTGTAGGAGCTGATGCCGTGGGATCATCCGTACCTTAGCGGTGTCTTGCGTGCCGAAAGGTGAGTATTTGGCTCTTCATTTTTCTGCCTGCTGTCATTTGATAAAGTCATCTTAATCTGTATCTTTAGGTGCAAGTTGTTGTTGCTCCCCAGCTCTTCCTCAGGTGTCACTTGTTACAAAAGGTGTTAAAAGAGAAGCGTGGGAGTTGTTGAAATGTTGTTTCTAACTCCCTTTCTGATTCCAAACACTGGAATATGATTGAATCAAACTTTTCAGCTTTTCGGTTTGTGGTTCCTCGTTTCTGTGTTTGTAGCATTTGGTATTTGTACTTAAAACTGCCTCCCAGTGTGTTGCAGGTCCAGCATTTCCACTAAGCGCCTGTGAAATTTGCAGTTAAAGTATTCAACTGCTGCATTTGATGTGCGACTACTTGTGTAATGTGTTGTTGTGAGAGCACTTTTGCTTTTTGTGTTATTCGACTTGATAGCAGCCCACACTTAGATTGGCACAAACCATACTCAGTGTCATACTTATGTATGAGAAAAAAACAGTTTAAAATATGATGCATTTTTTTTATCATAAAATTTGCACTTATGGTTATTGAATGTATTTTTACACTCAGCACCAACTTTATTAGGCACTGATAATATTATAAGGAACTGACTATTATAATTTATTGCAAGCATGCAACAGCAGCCCTGCATAAAATTTTACTTGTACTAAATTTGAAATGGCAGTTTTTCTGACTGTTTTATCTCCCCCATGAGGAGTCAAAATACCCCTCAGAAAATAATATAGTTAACTACAAACTACTGTGACCGCTGTAATAAAATGTGTAGTTTAATGCAATTTAACTATCGTATCTGGGATAGCGTTAGGCATTGTACCATTAGACTTTATGGCAGAACAGTTGTATTTAATTGCAATACATTTTTCAAGGGAAGCAATCAATCGATTGGGTAGTTGATCAACAGAAAATTTGGATCAATTGTGCGTCATTTAACATTGCAGAAATCCCAGACGTTTACTGAATCAAACAAACAGCCCTGTTTTGTTTTTGTCTTTTTTTTTTTTAAGCTATGTAACTGGCTTTAATGGCATCTGGTCTGACATTTTTTCCAATATTATGTTTTTAGCATTTTCCCCTTTATTGTAGAGTTACAGTGGACTAAAGGTCTGAGCAGACTGGGAATCTAGCTCAGGACTGATTATTCAACAGGCATTTGCACACGTGTTATGCACCCTAACCAGTCGGCCATCAGGTTATTAGAATGTATCGTGACAATTGTTTCTATCCACTGTTTTATGTTGTAATGGATGAGAGCAGCTTTAATGTTTTTGTTACTTGCAAACTTTTTAGTTAGATCAAATTGAGCAGCCACTGAAGATTAGGAATGATGCTGGAAAGCTACTGGTCCAACATGATTCAAGGACGTAGAGATTCATAGTCCTGCTGACCTCATCTGAACAGTGATCATGTTTTGTATTCAGCAACTTAATCAAAGAAATTCAAGCCGTCATTTTCTAAGTTTAGCTGTTATTTGTCACGTGGAGTGTCTCCAATGTTTACAGATATATGTTCTTAATGAACTGCACTTTTCCTTCCCATCACTCACCAGAGACTAGTAACACATTGAGCCAAATGTTCTGGAGAAGTTTGAACAAAATTTTTATTGCAGGCATTATAGGTCTCTCAGGTGTCCCTAAAAATTGGGATGCAGTCTAAGTGCAATGAAAAGCTGCTTCTGCTCTCTGCTACACACAAGGGTACACATATGTACTTCTGTCTTTGTAGGGATATTTATGGTGTAATGCTTTCCCTACCCCTGTACCTTAAACCCAATGTTAGTCTTATCTCTAAAACCAAGTCTTAACCTTCAGACAGCCCCTTGAATGTCTGTGTCAGAGTTTTGACTTCATTTTCCCAAAATGTCCACACACTCAAGGTCTAACATAGAAGTAATTTGTCACATATAAAGCCGTACAAGTACACTAACACATTTACAGACCCACAAGCTATAAATTACTCTCACTAACGCTACCCTTCAGGTACGATCTCAGGCTTTTTGTCTCAGCCACTCACATGTTTTCTTTTCATCTTTCCCTTTGCGGTTTGAGTTAGAAAGTGTTCAGACCATATTGAAATGAGGTCAAGATTGTGTGTGCGTGTGTTTGTGTGCATGTGTGATAAACAGAGCTGGTAGCCGTGTTCAGCAGCAGTCTGTTGTTCATCAATGATAATACATAGATGTGGTGTTGGAGCTAAACAACCATTTTGGTTTGGTGGTCTTTATCTAAAATGCCTTATAAGCAGCATGAATGGATCCTTTCTTAGCCTGGGTGGTCCCAGGAGAGAAACAATCCCACCAGCCCTGAGCCCTGGCAGTCTTGAGCCTTTGTCCTACCAGTGAGATTACATATATGTGGGAGTCAGTGGATTTTTAGCCAGGCTGTTAAGTAATATGCAGACCAGCATATAAAAAGAAGAGGATGGACTTTGTCATTCTGTCTTTTTCTGGCCTTTAAAATGAGTTGTGTGTGCTTTGGTTCTGCAACAAAAAAGACACATTTATCTATATGTATATATAGTTAATATACAGATATGAAACCTATTATTATTACTAACAACGTATTAGAAGACAATAGAAGAATTAATTACCAATACTTGTATGAGCAAGATGCTGTGGATTTGAAGTGTCTGCTTCATTCATTTCTATATTCTGGTTTATCTGCTGCTCATTACAGGTACAACATAGAGCCCAGTCTGTACAGTCCCTACCTGTCTCTTGGTGCCTGTATGGAGGGTTTGAACAACCTCTTCTCTCAGCTGTACGGCGTCTCGCTCATGTCTGAACATCCCAGTGCTGGAGAGGTGTGGAGCGAGGACGTCCGTAAACTGGTAAATCCTAGTAATTGTGTAGAAATTCTTTGTCCTAATGAGGTGTCAGTACCTTTTTAGATCAACCATTGTTTGTTTTATGCAATGCGTTAAACCAAAGACAGTTTTCAAAGGTCAAAGTTTTTAATTAGAGTATGTGTTTAATGTATGGTTATGTTTGTGTGTTTCTAGGCTGTGGTGCATGAAACGGAAGGATTACTGGGATATATCTACTGTGACTTTTTCCACCGGGCAGATAAACCTCATCAGGTATTTATACTCATACACATACTCATCTACATACTGTGGTTTTCTGAAAACTTGGAATTCAAGTTTAGAGGTCTGATGTTCTTTATTGGGTTGGCTCTACATAAAGAAATAATGGGAAACAATGCACTCATCATGAAAGAATATAGTGATGCTGTACATCAAATTAAACAGCAGAACCTGGGCTACAAGAATTTATAAGCCATTTCTACATGCCCCAAAGACAACTCAAACACCAACTAAATGAATTATCAAATATGGAAATCGATATAGTGCCACCAAGTCAACCCACTCGCCACATTTCTGGCTCTCGCGCTTTCTTTGGTACTTAATGCAAAATGCACAAACAACCCCTCAAACGAAAGCAGACAGTCCACAGATTCCAAACATATCCATTAAAGCTCTCTGAAATCAAAACATCAGTGAGAAACAACCCAAAGAACAGCAAGAAACTGTAGTTATAAAATGTCTCTCACCTTAGCTGTTTTGCCATGAAAGGTTTATTTTATCGGTTAATCCACACCGGAATCAGTTAGTACTACTTCCTGTGTGACACTGAAATCACTCCAGGTGTCTTTTGGAGGCTCCGTCGACAGAGGGGAGGTAGGTAGTCCACACTAGCTCAGCAAGCGGCTCGTCTACAAGTTGCAGTTCTGCTGATTCTGATTGCCTAAAAGTGCTGTCAATCTCATTTTGGTGGCTATCGCTATATTCTATTGGCTCTAACGATTCGATGGTGGTGTCAATCACTGAAATCGACCAATCCATTACGGAGATACAGCCTTGTGTCACCACAGGAGCTTCACAGCAGTCTGATCAGCATTACGCACAGGATGCATAACACATACAGCAGTCTGGTTGAATTTTCAACAAACTAAAAAACTGCTGTGTTTGCATGTATGAACACCATTAATAATATACAATCCAACAATTTCCCTGAGGTTTGCACCAAAGGGATCAATAAAGTTCTATTCTATTCTATTCTATTCTATTCTATACAAGTGAAATATATAGTTTGTACATGAGAACACTCAGATGGTCACAAGTGTGCCAGAATGTGCCAAAGTGTGCAAAAATGTGAGCTCACCTGAACTGTCTGGACTAAAAACTTTGTAATTTTGTTCTGCTTCACTTTATCAGAGTCAACCTTTGCAGAGAGAATGTTCACATATTGTACTATGATTTGGGAGAGGTTTAGAGCTGCAGCTGGATCATTCCAAAGAGATAATTGTCCTGAAAGTGCTTCCCCCCCCCCTTTTTTTTTTTAGGCAAACCTGAAAATTTTTAATTTTTGTGTGTACCATCTTCATTCACTTTTAACCAGTGACATATATACAGATATTTACACATCTGGACAAATCTTACAAGTGTTCCTTTTATTATGACACAAGAATTATTCAAACAGACCTTGTGCTTGCAGAGATAAACTGTTTTTATTATGGGTATGTCATTTTCGAGCAGAGGCCTGAAAAATAGCTCAGGGCTTAAAGGGTTAAATAATTGCGTGTGTTGCTAATGTACAGCAATCCTGTTAATCATTAGTTAAATGCTGCATTGGTGATTTAATGATCACTAGAAGTTACAACACAAAGAAAAGGAACAGTCAGGGATTGCACATGTCCTACTTTTTCTGATTGTATGTATTTTTTAAATTGTATTTTATCTCTCCTTACTCACATCTGACCTCACCAACTCTTCCATTTCTTCCCAGGACTGTCACTTTACCATCCGCGGTGGTCGCTGGTGCCAGGAAACGAGTCAGTACCAGCTGCCAGTTGTGGTGCTGATGCTGAGCCTGCCTCACCCCAGTCGGAGCGCCCCCACCTTGCTCACTCCTGGTATGATGGAGAACCTCTTCCATGAGATGGGACACGCCATGCACTCCATGCTGGGACGCACTCGCTACCAGCATGTGACAGGTGCGGAATAAGCACACACCCACTGAACACAATAGAAGGCTTAAAGGGCTGACTTGAATTGAAGTCTCCTTCTGAAATTAAGACATTACAGTGGAGCCAGGACAGTTTGACAAAAGATTTAGGTAAGTAATAACAATCCACCGATGTGGGACGGGATCGATGTTTGACATTTTATGAGCTCGCTACCCTAAAATGACGGCTATCCAGTTCCAAATGTCACAAGCTGGAATTGTGTTAATACAGAGCTGTGATTCATTACAGTGTGGTGAATTGAAAATGGGAGGTAAATCCGATTAAGTGTAAGCCCTGAGGATAGGTTTAAATGATACTCGGCGACTAAAGCTGTCATTTGACACTGTTTGACATGTCAGATAACTTTGATGGATACCTTCACTAGTAATTCAAGATCCTGAAAGTATTTATTTTAGGCTAATAACAGTATCCATTAACTCAACTGGAGGCTGTTTCTTTAGTGGACATGGTGTTTACACCTGTTTGGACATGCTAGTTAAATTTAAGTTGCGTATGAAAGCTCATGGCAGTGGCATTATCAGTAACTTAATATTGTCTTTTTCATGTCTATATAGACCACACAAAACACATAGGATTTACTGACTTTGCTTTGGTTTGTGGTCTGAAGACCTGATTTTCTCATTTCAACTCACTTTTTGCTCTCATGAGAAGCACCGTTGGCGTGAAAGCCAGAGTTTGTAAGCGGCTGCTGTGCGTTGACCCACAAAGGAAGAATGAAGTCAGTCATACCTTCTGTTATTTTAAGGTCTGTTGTCTCTTCTCTAGGAACCAGATGTGCAACAGATTTTGCTGAAGTTCCTTCCATCCTCATGGAGTATTTTGCCACAGACTATCGAGTCATCAGCCAGTTTGCCCGCCATTATGAAACTGGACAGGTAAACCTAGACCCTCAGAATAAAGACCAGTATGAAGATAGATTTGTACTAAAGCAAAACAAAATTTGTAACAAAGCATCGTTTAACCTTCTAAACCGAAATCAGTTTCTGGGCATTGTGTAGCTCACTTTTTTTTTTTTCACTATGGGCTCATTACTTTACAGAAATATGAAATACTGCACCTCTGTGAAAACACCACAACTATGGCTAGAAATGAAGAGAACTCAAAAATGTCTTTTGTGCTGTACAGCAAAGTAAAAATGCCATAAAAGTTTTTCAAAAACTGAGTTATTTTTAATTTTTTTGTTGTTGATTCAGTCATAGTTGCGCTGTGGAGCGCAGAATTTTTTGTTTTAAACAGAATCCTGTTACTGAAAACTGCTGGTTTTTGACCAATTTTTAAATGAGACATGTAGAATAAAGTGACTTTGATGAAATTTTCAGGTTTGATTTGGTTAAGTTTCCCAATAAAATTAAATGTCACATGTAATTACTTCGAGGAGTAGCCCTGTGATAGACTGACGACCTGTCCAGGGTGTTCCCTGCCTTCTCCCTAAGTCAGCTGGGATAGGCTCCAGCCCCCCTGTGACCTTAGTGAGGATTGAGCGGTGTATAGATAATGGATGGATGGAATTACTTTGAGGACATCTGAAAGTTCAAAATCCAACAATTCTCTCTGTTTTTAAATGTTCTGTGCTCTGATAAAATGTGTGATTTTGATTATTTCTTTTTGAAGATAGCATGTTTTTAAACGCACCAGTGGATTTTGGAGTTCAGGTGATTAATGGTTGAAGAGAGATATTTTCAAATACATCATGGTTATAGTAATGTAATTAATACCTTTATTTTTTATTCTAGCTGTGATCTTATAAATTAAGATCAAAGGCAGCAGAAATTAGGTTTTAACCATAATTTTAAAAGATTGACTTGAAGCGTTGAGATGAAACAGATGTTTTAATTAAGCTTTACTCTGTCTTTTCAGCCTCTACCTGAGAGTATGGTGGCTCGCCTGTGTGAGTCAAAAAAGGTGTGTGGAGCTGCGGACACCCAGCTGCAGGTAAACTCAAGCATTTGAAATGGATATAGTTTCATGCCTGTTTTTGTTAGTCCATCAGATGATCACAAGCAGTTTTTGTTTGGGGGTATTTCACTCTTACTTCCTGCCATAAAAAACTGGAAAAAATTGTGTAAACATATAAAGGAGTGGAAGTTAGAAAGGAATCTAAAGATGCAATGTTGTGATGAATGAATATTCCATAACGTTGGAAAGCTTTCAGTCCTTTAACCCTTTATAGGGCCTTTATTGAAATACTTGGAAAATGAACATTTCAACCCTACGGTGTACCAAACTGCAAAAAACATTTATTTAGAAATATTTTAGTTTGAGGTAATGATACTTATATAACCAGTAACAAAGTATAAAGTGCTTGGCAAGTTTATTTAGTAACATTTTTCTTGGGGTAGTGATATTGACACAAATCTCAAAAAATAAATCCAAGTGGAGTTCAATGCAAACCAAAACAAAGCGTTGATAAAGTGCCTGGAACATTTGTTAAGTGACATTTTTTGTAAGGTAGTGATATTGGCACTAATATAAAAACAAAATCAAAGGGCACATGGTTCATCAACCTTAAAGAGAGGCACAGGATGGACATATTGAACATCCAAGGAAGTTACCAAATATGGTCACTTGCCCCATAAAGGGTTATAGATGAAGGATGTTGAGTTTGGCTGATATTGCTAAATTCTAAAGCGATTCTACCTGAAATACTTGTGGAAGGGGTTTTTTGGTTTTTAAAAAAAAAAAAAAAAAAAGCTTTATCTGTCTGATCACTCACTCTGAAATAAGCAAATTCAAATGATACACTTAAAAAGAAATGGAATAGTAGCCTTAAGGCTGTTTGTTTTTAGTTTTGTAATAATGTCAAATATATCAGCACAAAATGTAGTTATTTGCTTTGCTCAACTGTACTTATGCAGTTTGCATTGTCCTTTTCTTTCTTTTAAGCGAGCATGCATGGCTGATTCTATGCTTTTGATTCTTTCTGGGCAGATATTCTATGCAGTATTGGACCAGATCTACCACAGCAAACCTCAGAACTGCTCCACCACAGACATCCTAAAGGACATGCAGCAGAAATTCTACGGCTTGCCTTATACTCCCAATACGGTAAATCCCAACGGCCTTTGTGCTCTTTCTCACGATGTTTGTGACTTTTCGGTCGCTTGTCTCTTCAATACTGTGTCTTTAGATCAATGACAGTCTTGGAGGTTGATTATAATTTGTACAACAATCCCCAAAAGACTCACACTGCCTAGTTTATCACAGCACAGAAACAGCACAACTTCATTCCTCTAGCTCTCTCCTCCCTTGTCTTTTTCTCCTGTTTCTCTTTCTGTCTGGTTTTATATCTTTAACCCAGGCACAGCAGCATTTAAAGGATTAAAGCCTTTTCTGAAGCCCTGCTAAAATAACAAAGCAGAGGGATACTTTTAAATGAGCTCTCCCAGGGGGAAATATTTGAAACTCTTCCTCCTGGCCCTTTAATGAAAAAAGAGCTCTATTTCCCCCACTTTTGCAGCTGCGGGCGAGGGGATGAGGCCAGGAGGCAGAGGAGAATCAAAAACACAGTCATAATTTAGCCAGGAATGGCCTTCATGCAGCAGTTACTCTGGGCTATAATTATGTGGGTGCCATCAGGAATAGAGATTACAGAACTGCAGCATATTCTCCTAAACCTCAGTGTCCCGGCCAGCGTTTCTCCTCTCAGAAGTCCTCCCACTCTTCTGCTTGTGTCCCACTTTGTAGTTCCCTCTCCAGAGGTTGTGGTTTATGTTATATAGTTTCCCACTGTCTAAGTCATTTCTCTTCAACTTTACAAACCACACTGAAAGCTCTAACAGACACTTTGCCTCCGTGTGCATAGCCACCCACAGCAGGATCATTTTCTCCATTTGAACTGAGGGTGATTGTGGTGCTTGAGCATTCAGTATTGGATCAGAGCAAGTGAAACCAGATTTGTTTAGATCCTTCAGTGACAGACTTAAACTTTTTTAAATTCACTCTGAATCTGTCTCCCTCTTGACTGTCCTCATGGAAACACAGCTCAGGAAAAGTTTCCACAGTAAAGTGAACATTTGAGTGGCTAATAGGTTACGGAGAGCCACAAATTATAAACATTAGGGTGATGCTGACATGTGTATAGTTTATAGAGCAGGGCTATCAGTTCCCGCTGTGTACAGAGAGAGAGGATCAGCTGTGAGTAACATAGACCACATGCTCACCCTTGAGCCGAAGATAATATTTGGAAATAAATGGCAGAAAGCGAGATGTTCTGCCTCGTTGTGTTGACATTTTTGTAATCTGCAATTCTTGGCTTTAATCCTTGCATGTTTGTTCCTCTTTTCAATGATGATCCTGTGTTTAAAATATGTTTAATGCACGACAGATCACGTTGTTCCACATTCTCCTGTAAAAATGTGGAATTGCACCTTAACACCATTAACAAAACACGAGTTGAGTTTGAAAAGAACAAAAAATGTCTTTTATCTCACGTACAAGAGGAACAGAGTAAAAAGCCTGCGCTTACTTTGTCTCCTTTGTATGTAAGGATCAAAAGGATATCTTGCTGACATGTGACCCACTTGCACTCTCTTAGAAAAGTCGACATTAATCATTTGATGTGAAGCAAAGGGATTGAAAACAAAGAGAAGCTTGGAAGTCTGAAAATCATTTTCATGGCACGTTGTGATGAGGGCTTAAAGCATCTTGTCAAAGACTGGCACACTGTGCCAAAGAGTCCTTCAATAGCTGCTTATTTGTTACCAAAATATCAGCGGCAATAAACCACATAAGAAATACAGTAAAATCAAAGAGTCTTCAAATGAAAGGCTGGCTTTCACGTAGGTTTAAAACTTGAATTAAAACTAACCTTTGTGATTTTTTTTGTCACTGTTTTAAATATATCAGTGAATTCTATTTGTATGCATTTATTATTGCATTTTACACTTTCATATGAATTCGACACTAAACAGTTAAAACAAGCTTCTAACCTGCATAGCCCGAGCCCCTCTATCACGACTGAGTTGCTGCTGACAAAGCAAACTCAGCCAACTTTGTCTTGCCCAAACTTTAGTGAGCTATGACTCCTCTCAGGAGTGCTATTCACTCTTATTAAAGTCGCTACAGCCCAGAACAGTCTTGTCAAGTCAACACTTTGGAGTGTAAGTATTTTTAACACAATGGTCAAGACTAAATGAGATCTACCAGTGGTGAAGATGATCAGCCCTGATTTGAAGCTCTCAAACAGCTGTTTGTCATCAAGTGTAATTTTTACATTTTTATTCATCATGAAAGTTTATGTATACACAGTTTTTTTTTAACAAGACTAATCAGTTTTTTAAAGAATTAAACCATAATAACAAGGATCCATGGTAATTTGACTGACATGGTGACATTTTTTGTAGCATGAATTGACTCATAAAGCACACACACTGATCTCCTTTGAGATCTCAATTTCTATGGCACCTACATGAATAAAACTGCTCTATCCAAGAAAGAGTCTTTTGTATTTACAAATGCTGTGCAGCTGAGTGGGTTAACTTATCAGTGATTGTCTTTAGCGTCCTATTAAACCCAGGCCTTTTGTCTCTGTAAACTGGGTACCACGTCATTTCCGATATGCTACGCCAGAGCTTCTGTAATTTCTTCCACCAGAGCCTTGTCTTGTCTTGGGTGTGACGCTGGAAAGTAAGTCGGTGAACAATAGCTGTGGTTTCTTAACTTAGAAGGGAGTTGGAATCTGAAGAGAGACACTTTGCTCCCATTCCACTACATGCACAAATTGTGTTTTTACTGGCAAAACTCACGTGTGGGCATCTCCAAGGAGACAGCTTACATTAATGTCATGACTCCAGAGAATTGTTTTTTGTTGCTAGTGCTGACGTTGTTCAAGAGACAGCACCGAAAGCACATATCTCCTTTTTATGGTTTAGGTATTTTTCACATTGTGCAAAAACAAAAATTCAAATGAATTCAATTAGTTTAATATACCTACTGCTGTATAGTGGATTCTCATTATTTAAAAATTGAGCCTCAATCTGCAGAAAATTTAAATTACTGTAATCAAGGGCAATAAAATGTGCCAAGATTTTCTCTGGCACTTAAAGAGCCAAGTAATTTTTTTTCTGAACTACTGTGTTCCGTCATGTTAACTTTTAATTTACCTCTGATCCATATAGAGAGGCTGAGCTGCATGACAACCTCTTCTCAGGCACAGTTCTGTACCACTGCAGTGAGAAACAGACTAGAGGAGTTAGCCTACTGAACAGGACCAACACCAACTGTTCTTGTGGATCAAAGGAAATATAAAAATATGTAGTGAGGACTGCAAATGTAATGCAAGAAGACACTAAAGTAGTTAGAAAAAAGTCCCCTGTGACCATTCAAGGGATCTTTGGGCACTGCTACAGAAGCACCTTGGTCATTTGTGAGGGAACAAAGTGTAAATGTTGTCTGCACCTTTCAATTCAGAGGATTATTTCACTTTGAGTTGGAGTATAAATCATTACCATGTTTAAAGTTAACTTTTTATATGGAGGGGTGGGGAGGCGTCTGCAGTCTGTTATGGTTTAGTTAACTATGGCAGCTGCTGTCTTTTCTAACAGGCTGAATGTTTGAGTGTTTGCCAGCTGAATTCCCCAGAGTCCCCGTTTGCAGAGATCATAAAAGAGCTCGTCTTTATAGATATGGAGGGGGGGCCCTCAGGCAACGACAGGGGAGAAAAGAAGAGAGGAGATCGGGGCTTTCTACCATTTAGGAATTTCCATGTTTTGTCCTGAATAGAAGGACCTGGCAGGTTGTGATTTAATGTTTTGTCATAGAACTTTGTTAAAGGAAAGCTGTATTTATTTCACCAATGTAATGATAACAGTGAAGAAAGCAGAGGCAGCTTAAAAGTGTTTGGTGTATTTCTCAGCAGACCTTTAATAGTTTTCCCTTTAAGATTCACTTTAGTTTAATTGCGTCAAAAATTAAACTGAAACAATTTTGAGACTTAAAACATTGAGACTCTTCATGTTTAATTTTGTTTTTCATTTTTGGCTCACAGGGATGCTGTCAGGCCGAGCTGCAGGTTTAATTTTAGTTGTTGCCAACAGCTTTTAGTCTTACTTTGTGTCTTTTATAGGCATAGTTAGCAGCAGTCATGGAACAGCTTCTCTCGACAGGTTTTACGAGCAGAAACATTTGAGCCTTTTCAGGCTGTGATATGATTCTGCCACGCGCCACACTCACTGTATCCAACAAACCCATTATATTTGGTCAAAACTAATTCAACGTGTTCAAGTTATATAATGTGTTTTTCTTTATTTGGCAACCAGAAATTGCTGTCACTTTTCATCACTGTGAGTTTATTCTGTCACATTACGAGTGAAGTAAAACATGCTGAATAATTGAGCCTGTCTTTTTATTCAAGTGAAAGTGATAATAAAGTGGCTTCTTTTTGATTTCTTGTACAGGCGTGGCAGCTGAGATTCAGCCACCTGATTGGCTATGGAGCCAAGTACTACTCCTACCTCATGTCTCGAGCCGTTGCTTCAATGGTGTGGAAGCAGTGCTTTGTCCAGGATCCCTTAAACAGGTGAGACGCAAGTGTAATGGTAAGAGTTCAATAACAAAGTATTACACTGAGTATGAAGCACCAGCAACAATGGAAGTGAAACTCCTCTCTTTCCCACCAATAAAAATGCTAATATCCTCAGTTTTTACGTAAAGTTAAAAGTTGCTTTCTACGTCATTTTCTGAGACTATAGCTGAGTCAATATCATTTCTTTTATACGCCATGATTTATGGCTGATCCTTCTTTTTATAACAAGAAATATATTTTTACTTGAATTCTTTGCAAACTTTCAGCTGTGACATAGAGAATGTGTTAGTCTATTCTATTTACGGCAGAGTTGTGGCCGTTACTTATGAAGCCTCTGATAAATCACTTGCACAGTGATCTAATCCAAAAGGAAAGAGGTACATTGCAACCTCTCTGCAAAACATGTCACAAGTGGCTTTGCTTTTATACAAAGCAATGTTGAAATACTCTTCCATAAGTTTAATATATGTTTGTTGTTGTTGTTGTTGTTGTTGTTGTTTTTACTTGGTAGGGACTCCCCCAAACAAACAGGGCCTTTAACAATGAAGTCTTCCAAACAGTGACTACATTGGTACTAATCAGAGCCCAAAAATACTGGATATTTGTAACCAGTGCTAATATGGATCGTTAAGGAAAAAAAAACAAAAAAACACACATAATGTATTTATACATACAATATGTAATTGTTACATTGAAAAGAGGAAATGATGGGGTCATTGTTTATAACTTTCAAGCAGTGTATTTTATAAACTAGTTGGCAGCTTACCGTGAAAAGAACGCTTGGTTTTACATCACCATGTGCTCAGTAAGCATTGTTAAGAATGGAGTCAGAGGAGCTCTGCTGGCCAAACTATGTGATGACACTCCCAAGCGTCTTTTTTTTTGTTCTTTTTTTTTTTTTTCATTTCTTTTTTTTCATATGAGCGCATATTGGACAACACATATGCCAATATATCTGTGATAGACCAATATGTTCGTCTGGCTCCAGCAGTGAATACACTAAAGTCTTCTACCTTGAAATGGAAGCAAAGGTGTAGAGGAGTGGAGAAAAAGTTCCGCGTATTATTCAGGTGTCATTTTGCAAATATTTACGACTCAGGAAAAAAAAAAAAAAAACAAACCCTGGGCAATGATATATAGCCATGGCAGAGATTTGCAAGTGTGCCACACGGTTTGTTGCCTTTTTTAATGAAACTCCCCTCTTAATACTGACTTCAACCTCCAAAAAGACTCTAAGCTCTAGCTGAGTCAAGGTTGTAGATTATTACACAGGGCAAGCAAGGAATCTAATCTGCAACTTTAAATTTTGACTTAATAACTGTGTTTTCTGTTTCTGTTCTTGGAGAAATCGTGGCTCATTGAGGCCTTTGCACAGTTTCGAAAATCACTCATTCAGCTCCTGCACTTAAGCCTTCACGATAGTATGAGAGAAGTTTCAGTTCAGTCACAGTCATCACTCTTTTCACTCCTTGTGTTTGTGGTAAAGCTGTTACACTAAGCGTAAACCTGTTTTACGTTTAGAACACTGAGACAGATGCCTCCTGACAAGCCGCCGTCCCTGGATACTGTTTAAGCCTCACATTGAACATGACATAAATACGAAACTCATGCTGACTTGGCAGGTGTCTGCTGTGAGTCACAGACATACACCAGCATCCACATTACTAGACCCTCCCTTATCACAAGTGTTTGTCCCTGGACAAAGCGTAAAGGCTTTGTTTTGAAACGCTAACCCTCTACCGTATCTCCACAGAGTCAAGCCCTGTAGCATCTTCTCTCTGCCTCTTATTTCTTTCCTTTTCTTTTCCTTTGCTCTCTGTCTGTCTGTCTTCCTGTATTCTCTTTCCCTCTGAGATTGTTTTAGTTCCACCTGCAGTTGTCAGATCTCTGCTTCCTGTCACCTGTCTGCTGTGAATAGGCAGCTTAGGAGACTTGGCCCTGGGCTCTAAGTGGTAGTAGCAGTGGTGGAGGGGCTGACAGAGTGTGAGGAGCTGACAGAGGAGAATACAGGTGTTTGTAACCTTATCTCTTTCTCTTCTGTGTCTGTCTTTGCCTCTGTCTCTTTGTCAGGGACATGGGTGAGCGTTACCGCCGGGAGATGTTGGCCCATGGAGGAGCCAAGGAGCCCATGCTGATGGTAGAAGGTAGATCCAAACATTCTGTCGTGATTATTAAACAAATCTTTTCACCTTCACTGCTAAAATTCTGTGAATCACTTCAGAGTTACACGTTTAGGCCTCATTTTTTTCAATTGCTTGACCCTGCAACCTTTCGGCAATCGTCATTCCATCTCGCACAGGACCACCCCCCCAACCCCCCACCCCCTCCATGGGCAGGTTTCACTGTTCTGTACCATAGTAAATTAGTTTTATTATAGGTTTAAGAGTTTAGATTTAAAAGTGTCAGTCCTTTAGTTTACTGTAGCATGAGTAAAACAAGGTGTGTCTAATTATGGCAACATAATGCCATTAAATTTGTTTTGACATGCTGGACAGCTTGGGGGGCCGCTGCTCCTGGAGTTGTTATTTTGTCTCCTCTCATGAAAAGCAGAAAAATATTATAAAACCCATAGAAGTAGTCAATTCAGCTGCCGGTTTTTCAGGTGGTCACAACTGCCACTGTTGTGGTTGAGCTTCAACAATGGCACCTATTCACCAGTTTAACACACCTCCTGAAGTTTCTTATCTTTGTTTACAGGAGCTTTGTCAAACCAGAGACAAAGCCAATCCTGCTGTGGTATAAAATGTCAAAGTTTGCTCACTCTGTAGCAACCACACATGTTCACGCTAGTCCAGCCTTTATTTGATCAGCCTAAAAATTATAACTAAATAAAGATCATCTTAAAGGAATGACATTATGGATCATATTACTTTTTTGTGCACAGACACAATCAAGAAGGAGGGAAAGACTGAAATAGTTGATTATAGGTTTGAGCGCTCAGCACTGCTGACTCTGCAGGACTGAAAACACAGACGGTACATTCCACTGTGTGTTTAACCACTTCGGATCAGCTATATTTGATTCATGCTAGGTGCTGGGCATTTCACTGCAATATAAAGTTCTGCGTCTCTATGGAAACGGCACAAATCTGGCTAGAAGTTTAGTGAACTTAAAAAGGTATTTTGTGAAGTCGAATAGAATTTCTTTGGTTATTTATTTTTCAAGAATTTTTAAAAAAATGGAATCTCCATGTTCAACATTTTTTCATGCTTACAGGTGCAACCAATACTGGAAATACTGGTGGCTCCACATATTGTAGATATTTTACTACCACCTACATATGAAATTTGTTTTCCATACTTGTCTCTTATTTGTGCTGTCTAAACACAGCCTGCAGTTCAACCCAGTTCAGCCAAAAAGTCCCTGAACTTTTTTGTCTCGTAGCTGTTGATCACAGCTGAGTCACTCATGGCTTCATTGCTGGCCAAGGAGTGCAGTTTTGGGTTGTTGTTGTTTTTTTGTTGGGTTTTTTTTTTTTGTTCTATTAAACAGAACCTGGTTAGTGCAAATTGTCTATTTTGGGTAATTTTATTTAGACACGTAGAATAAAGTGGTTCTAATGAAAGTTCTCTTGACTGTTACTTTTTTTTTTAAAAACAATACACCTACAACCTTTACCTTAGCTTACCTTAACCTCTTTAAGGAAGGAGGCGACATAGACTAGTGGGTTTGTTATGTGAAGTGAGTCTCTCCTGCTGTGTGAGAGAAGAAACGGCATGTTGCTGCAGTCAAAGCTAAGGTGGCTTCAAGGGTTTTAAAGTTACTTTAGTGAGCTGTAACGTGCCTCCATAAGCAGAATAGTTACTGACAGTCAGTGTGTTGTGTTTGCTGTCACAGAGGGAACAGAAAGCTGTTACTATGGCATCCTTCTGCAATTTCATGTATGAAGCACTACTAACCATGGATAAGTATTGGCAGCAGAAACACAGACATCGATAAAGTAATCATAACCTCAGTGACAGTGGTCTCTTTTCTGGTTTATATTGTCATGTTTACTTCAGTTACTTTGCTATAATGACAGTGGAGTCCAGTCTGGTCCCTGTAAAGCGTTTTGTAGCAGCATTTGCTAATTTCAGGTATTTGTTGTAAGAGAATAACACAGTTTGGGCTGTTGACCTGCTAATAAAGCAATACAGCAACAGCTTATTGGATAACAGAATAATACCACGCTTGACGAATGCATTAGGAGACGGAAAGACACACCTGCATTCAACTCATATGAGTAATGGTGAAGACTGATTACGGTAGATTTACGTAAGGTGTTTGCAATATGCCATTTATAAACTAGCTTGAGTGACATTTGCTTAGGGAACGATAAACAGAATCAAAAATAAAATTTTCCTAATGATTCCTAAATAATCTGAACTTGCTGTTAATTACGGCATCACAAAGCCACAGCTTGCGTCCTCTTGTTACCCTCCTCCCTTCGTCTTCACCTCACCTCCTCCTCTCCTTGAGCAGTCGTTGTGCCATGTCTGGACAAGACAACAGGAGGGAAGGCGAGAGGAGACAGACACAGAGAGTGGGTAACGATATCAGGTGGCATTTGGGAGTGTACAGTAAATCTCTCCCTCAGGGTCACCCCCTCCCTCCTCCATCAGATTGTCCCTCTGACAGCTCCAACCAGGGCTGCACCCAGCCTCTGAAATTACAACCACCAGCAGATCAGATCCTTGTTATAAGATCTACTGTCCAATTAACTGTTGTTGAACTGACAGTATTTGCTTTTATGACTCTCTTTGAAGTGAATGCTACTCTAATTATAGGCCAAAGCCCTGTGTGCAGAATAGTTATCAGAGTCTTATAGATACCGCTGGCTATATTTCCTTGCCATAAGTCATTGCAGAAGCTAGGGGCTACAAATGTCTGCACTGGGAATAATGCTCAGCCAAAATAAGTAAATGCAGATCAAATTAAAAGAGCCTTTATGTGGCTACATGGTAGATCCCGTCCCACATTTTGTGCAGTGTCCCATTATACAGTGCATCTGCATTTATGATACTCCTCTGAAAACCATTTCTTTCCTCTTTTTCTAATAAATCATGAAATGTTTAAACGGAAGTAAAAACTCCCTATATTTGTAAAGAAGCCTCATTCAGTCATCTCACCATTTTGATGGCTGCATATAGCTTCATAATTTACCTTAACATCATCTAAGCTGATGTCAGAGTTATGGAACTACATCAGTGCATGTGCTGAAACATTTAGGTTTTCACTGATGGGCTGGGAGGTTCATAGCAACCATCCAGAATTCCTGTTGGAGTATGGAAAAGGATTTAAAGTGAATTAGAAGGGCCTTTTTGTATGGAGAGCAGTATTTAGGCCAGCAGACAGCAGAAGACTAGAGGAAGGACATAGAATCCAGATCCAACCCATTACACATAATCCTTTCAAACAAAGACCCTTGTAAATGGAGGTGTGTAACATTTCCCTGCTGTCCCCCTTCGGTGAGGTGGTGGAAGGGCCACAAGGGCACACGGGGAACCGGAGCAGACCTGGCAAGGCCAATCAAAGGCCAGGCTTTATCTGGATGCCTCCCTGCCCCGCTATTTGATGTTTCCCAGGAAAGACGGTGTTGAAATGTAAACCCAGGTATTAAATCTAGTACAGCAGCATCAGGACAGAGTGAGGGAGTCCGAGAGAGAGGGAGAGAGTACGAGAGGGAAGAAAAAGGAGAGTACGGGAAGGAGAGAATGAAAGGTGATCGACTGGCTGAAGTGAACCTCGAGTCCTGCTACAGAGAAGGCTTTCATGGCCCAGACTGTTCCCATAGCCTCGACCACACAGCACAGAAAATGGATCTACTCATGTCCATAAAATAAATAAACCCCAAGAGCACAGTTCTGTCCAGTCACATAGCACTTTTGCGACAATGATGTACAGTTCTGTCTGAACTTGAGGAGAGGATTAGATAGACTTCACTGCTAGGACAAAAACTGTAAAATACATACTTTGCGGCCAGTCCTTGTGATCAGTGAACGTGTGATCTGTGTTTCATGGACTTACCAATATGGTTCTGAATCTCATGCATCCACCACTTCACTTCTTACATTTTTGTTGTATTTTATTTTTTAGTTCTTTTAAAGTTACATCTAAAACAGTGTTTTTTATTATTTATTATTATTATTATTATTATTATTGTTATTATTATTATTTTTATGCAAGCTATAAACACACTTTATGTTAGAAAGGCGGGAAATTAAGTTGATTTGTAATGAAAATGATCTTTCAGTGATCCACAGTGCAGGTATCAAGGGAATTGGGTTTGGTTTCTTGTAGGAATTAGCGGTAGTTTTTGTCATATTCCCGCTTTTGACCTGAGTTCCTTTGGATTCCTTTTTGTGATCACACTAATTAGACATAGGTCTATATATTTCAGCTACACAGGTGAAATTGTTTTGTGTTACCTAGTTTGTCTCAGTACTCAATGTGTTTTTAGCAAAAAGCCTATAGGTTGAGCCATTGCATACTGTTTATGCACTTATTTAATGTAGAATGTAGAATTGTTTTTTGAGTTGCCATATTTCATATTAACTTATCATAACTCTCTTCCTGTGACTTCCTCATCACCCTCCTAGAGAGGCCCCCAGTTAAGAACCACTGTAATACACCAGTGTTGGACAAATTGAAGTTTTGGCCTACAGATTGTGATGTAAATGATTTACCAAAGTGATGACAATTCATCGTGAGGGGGACATGAATATCTTCACAGAATTTCATGGTAATCCATCTACAGGTTGTAAAATACCCTGTGTTGGAAATATGAGTGTCTGTATTATCAATAAAACAGCTATTTAGGTACTAAACAGCACAAGTGAAAACTTTGACCATCAGCTGGAACCATGAAAAGTCAAACAATCAACAAAAGATTCATCCTCTGGTAACCAGGAATGTCTTTACGACCATCCATACAACGGTTGCTGACATATCTCTGCACTAAAGAAGCAGAACCACAAACAGACAAACATCCTTTGGTGCCCAAATATCATCTGTACGCATCAACATTCATAAAATACAGTTAAAGCAAAGTTTTAGAATCTGTGGATACATTAAGTTGGAACAATCAGACATTTTAATACCAAGTCATTTTAAGTAGGAAACATTTTCTTACATTAAGAGGCTACTTTGCTGAGTTTTGAAGGCT